TCCTTCCTGGTGCGCTGCTCTGGTGTGAATTTCTCCTCTCAGTGTGCATGCGCTCCCCTCACAGCACGTGGTTTTGAGACGTCTCAAAACATGCTCTGGTGTGAGTTTCTCTTCTCAGTGTGCGCTCCCCTCACAGCACCTCGTCTCTCCCGTGAGCTTTCTGGTGCAGCTACGTGGATTTTACTTTTGAGAATTCTCCCTGTGCAGCTCAAAAGTAAAATCCCTGTGCGCTCCCCTCACAGCACCTCGTCTCTCCCGTGAGCTTTCTGGTGCAGCTACGTGGATTTTACTTTTGAGAATTCTCCCTGTGCAGCTCAAAAGTAAAATCCCTGTGCGCTCCCCTCACAGCACCTCGTCTCTCCCGTGAGCTTTCTGGTGCAGCTACGTGGATTTTACTTTGGAGAATTCTCCCTGTGCAGCTCAAAAGTAAAATCCCTGTGTGCTCCCCTCACAGCACCCGGTCTCTTCCGTGAGCTTTCTGGTGCAACGGGTGCAACCAGGCCACTCACCTTTCCCTTCCCTCTTTTGTCCCCTTCCTCTCCCCCCATCCCTCACTCACGGCAGGACCCAAAGCTACTTCTGACAAAGGACGGCCGGGTGTTTGACTGCAATCAGGCGGCAGTGCGAATCCTCAAGTGCCCCACCAAGGAGTCTCTGCTCGGCCGCACGCCCTGGCGCCTCTCGCCCCTCCAGCAGCCCACCACCAAGCAATCGAACCTCCCTGCTGCCTCCAACCAGCCCTCTAACCGCCCCTCCGTCTTGGGAAACCCCCACCCAGACCTCTCACCTTCTCCTTCCCCTCCCCGTTTTCTTCCCACCTTCCCCTCCTGCAGGATCCGAAGCTACTTCTGACAAAGGACGGCCGGGTGTTTGACTGCAATCAGGCGGCAGTGCGAATCCTCAAGTGCCCCACCAAGGAGTCTCTGCTCGGCCGCACGCCCTGGCGCCTCTCGCCCCTCCAGCAGCCCACCACCAAGCAATCGAACCTCCCTGCTGCCTCCAACCAGCCCTCTAACCGCCCCTCCGTCTTGGGAAACCCCCACCCAGACCTCTCACCTTCTCCTTCCCCTCCCCGTTTTCTTCCCACCTTCCCCTCCTGCAGGATCCGAAGCTACTTCTGACAAAGGACGGCCGGGTGTTTGACTGCAATCAGGCGGCAGTGCGAATCCTCAAGTGCCCCACCAAGGAGTCTCTGCTCGGCCGCACGCCCTGGCGCCTCTCGCCCCTCCAGCAGCCCACCACCAAGCAATCGAACCTCCCTGCTGCCTCCAACCAGCCCTCTAACCGCCCCTCCGTCTTGGGAAACCCCCACCCAGACCTCTCACCTTCTCCTTCCCCTCCCCGTTTTCTTCCCACCTTCCCCTCCTGCAGGATCCGAAGCTACTTCTGACAAAGGACGGCCGGGTGTTTGACTGCAATCAGGCGGCAGTGCGAATCCTCAAGTGCCCCACCAAGGAGTCTCTGCTCGGCCGCACGCCCTGGCGCCTCTCGCCCCTCCAGCAGCCCACCACCAAGCAACCCGCCTCCACTCTAAAAGCCATTCTCGCCCACCTCGCTGCCTCCAACCAACCCTCTAGCCGAAGCTCAGGCTCGGTAAATCAGCACCCAGGCTCGTCGGCGCCGTTTCCGGTTACTGCTGCTGCCACCGCTGCTGCTGCCTCTGGCTCGGCGGGAGGCCCGGCGGGAGGCTCGGCAGCAGCGGACTCCTCCGCTCCAGGCCTGGCGGAAGACTCGGTGGGAGGCACGGGGAACCGGTGGCGGCGGTTCGAGTGGGTTTTCAGGGATGAAGAAGGGGGGGAAGTACTAGTAGAAGTGCTGTGTCGCATGGTTGAGTTCTTCGGGGAAAACGTGTACCTGATGGTGTGGCACGACATCGCCGAGGTGAAGCGCAAGGAGGCGGATTTGCAGCGCGCGAAGCTTGAGGCGGAGAAGGCGAGTTTGGCGAAGACGCAGTTCCTGGCGAATATGAGCCATGAGATTCGCACCCCGATGAACGGTGTGATTGGGGTCGCTGAGCTGCTACTGGATACGCCCTTGTCGGAGGAGCAGCAGATGCTGGTGAACACGATCCGGTCGTCGAGTCAGGGGCTGCTGCACATCCTGTCGGATATTTTGGACCTGAGCAAGATTGAGAATGAGAGGATGGCGCTGGAGTTTGCAGAGTTTGACGTGAGGGAGCATCTGGCGCACTCACTGGCGCTGTATGAAGTGTCGGCCAGGGATAAGAAGCTGCAGGTGAGAGAGGGGATGAGAAGCTGCAGGTGACGGGGGTGAGGGTAGGGCGATGGGAATTTGCAGGTGTGGAGAGGGATGGGAGAAGGCACAGGTGTTTTGAGGCGTCTTAATGATGGAAAGGTGCAGGTTTGGTGTTTCAGCATTTTGGATTGCGGCCATGTCACCTTAACCTCCCTGGTCCACCCATTCACCTTAACCTCCCTGGTCCACCCATTCACCTTAACCTCCCTGGTCCACCCATTCACCTTAACCTCCCTGGTCCACCCATTCACCTTAACCTCCCTGCTCCACCCATTCACCTTAACCTCCCTGGTCCACCCGTTCACCTTAACCTCCCTGGTCCACCCGTTCACCTTAACCTCCCTGGTCCACCCGTTCACCTTAACTACATAGTTTGTTTTATTCCCTCTTCCCCTCTTCCCTCCCTCCCTTGCTCCTTCCCATCACAGCTCAAATCCCATGTGAGTCGGACGTGCCTCTGAAAATCCTAGCAGACGCAGTGAGGGTGCGACATGTACAAGCGGGACTTTTTTGTACTGTTTTCCTTTTGCTTAAGCCTATTTAAGTCTGCAGCTCGCTGGGACTATGTCTGAAGACGCAGTGAAGGTGCGACAAGTACCTACCTCTCAACATTGTGGGTTGAGAGACGACGAATTTTGAGGCGCCTCAAAACAAGTACCTCTCAACATCATTCCCAGCGCCATCGAGTTCACCGCCGGGGGCCCTCTCTGTCCCATTATTCACCTCCACGACAAATGTATACCTTCACCTCCTTCCCACATCACAGCTCAAATCGCACGTGAGTCGGGACGTACCCCTGAAGATCCTAGCCGACCGACGCAGTACGGGTTCGACAAGTCCTTCTGAACATCGTATCTTTTGAGTTGACTCAAAAACAAGTCCTTCTCAACCTCGTCTCCAACGCCATTAACATCACTGCCCGTGGCCGCGTCACCGTGCGCATCACCGTCTCGTTTTGAGGCGCCTCAAAACTAGACAACGCCATATCACTGCCCGCGGCCGCGTCACCGTGCACATCACCATCTCCACCCACTCACGACCAACCCCCCTCCCTCCCAGTTTTTGAGGCGCCTCAAAAACGACCTCAATGCACCCACTCACGACCAACCAACACCCCTCCCTCCCTGTTCCCAACATTCACCCCCCCACCTGCTTTGGTATTTTTGTTCCTTCACCGCAGCTCAAGTCCCACGTGAGTCGCGACGTGCCTCTAAAGATCCTAGCCGACGCAGTGAGGGTGCGACAGGTCCTCCTCAACCTCGTATCCAACGCCATCAAGTTCACTGCCCGCGGCCGCGTCACCGTGCGCATCTCCACCGTCGATCCTGCCGACAAGGACGGCAGCGGCGGCGGCGACGGGCTGCGGCGCGAGTCGTTTTCGTCCCTAGCGCCGCTGCTGCAGCTGGAGGAGAGGCGGGGGGCGCCCGTGGATAAGGTTCTGCTCAAGTATTCAGTTTCAGACACGGGCATTGGGATCTCCAAGGACATTCAAGGGAGCTTGTTCCAGGCGTTCACACAGGTGCGAGGGGTGAGAGGTATAATGGCGGTTAAGTGGGGAGGAGCATGCTTCCAGCTGGAGGAGAGGCAGGACGAGCCCGTGGATAATGGGTACGAGGGGTGAGAGGTATAATGGCGGTTACGTGGACTTTTGAGGCGCCTCAAAAGACGAGGGGTAAGAGGTATAATGGGGGTAAAGTGGGGAAGAGCATGCTGGCAGCTGGAGGAGAGGCGGGACGAGCCCGTGGATAAGGTTCTTCTGAAATACTCAGTGTCGGCACGGGCATTGGGATTTCCTAGGACGTTCAAGGGAGCTTGAGGAATGTATGTTGAGCCTTTAAAGCCTCACTCACTGGATTCTTGGCGTGTAGTATTGGTGGGGAGTGAGAGAGGAGGGAGGGAAGGAGAGTGTGTTCACCCACTAAAACCTCAACACAGCTGTTTTGACGCGCTCCCCACAGAACTTGATCACCGCAACAACAGAGTTTGAGTCGACTCAACAACAGATCTTTTGAGGCGCTTCAAAAAAATTTGGCTCGCTCCCCACAGATCTTGAGCACCTTGACAACAACAGATCCCGGGGTTTAGGGTTTGCACGCGCATCCGGATTTTGAGACGTCTCAAAACACGCATCCGGGCCTATTGGTCTGGCTTTCTGGTCGTTTTTGAGGCGCCTCAAAAACGACCTCAATGCTCGGGGCCTATTGGTCTGGCTTTCTGACTAATCAACCTTTGCTTACAACTTGCCTTTTTTTTTTTCAGAATAGTAGACGGAGTACGATCGATCGATTCATACTCTTGGTCGTTTTGCTGCGGTTCGAAACCATTTTTTAGTCGACTCAAAAATTTGAGACGCCTCAAAACTCTCAGTCAGCTTGCTGTGGTTCGAAACCATTTTTTAGTCGACTCAAAAATTTGAGACGTCTCAAAACTCTCAGTCGGCTTGCTGCGGTTTGAAACCAGCCATTCTCAGAACCTCAACAACAGATTCTTTCGAGTCGACTCAAAAGTCAACTTGAAACCAGCCTTTCTCAGCACCTCAACAACAGATTCTTTCCCCGTTTCTGCATCCCCCCTCCCCCCTCCCGGCCCCCCGGGCGGACAATACGACGTGCCGGCAGTTTGGCGGCACGGGGCTGGGCCTGGCAGATCTGCGTGCCAAGTCGCTGGTGAACCTGATGGGGCGCGATGCGAGATGAGTGAAGGGTGCGAGAATGAGTAACCGCATGAGTCATGAGTCACGGGTGCTAACCCTGCTCCTCTCCCCACGGCCCTGCTCCTCTCCCCACGGCCCTGCTCCTCTCCCCACGGCCCTGCTCCTCTCCCCACGGCCCTGCTCCTCTCCCCACGGCCCTGCTCCTCTCCCCACGGCCCTGCTCCTCTCCCCACGGCCCTGCTCCTCTCCCCACGGCCCTGCTCCTCTCCCCACGGCCCTGCTCCTCTCCCCACGGCCCTGCTCCTCTCCCCACGGCCCTGCTCCTCTCCCCACGGCCCTGCTCCTCTCCCCACGGCCCTGCTCCTCTCCCCACGGCCCTGCTCCTCTCCCCACGGCCCTGCTCCTCTCCCCACGGCCCTGCTCCTCTCCCCACGGCCCTGCTCCTCTCCCCACGGCCCTGCTCCTCTCCCCACGGCCCTGCTCCTCTCCCCACGGCCCTGCTCCTCTCCCCACGGCCCTGCTCCTCTCCCCACGGCCCTGCTCCTCTCCCCACGGCCCTGCTCCTCTCCCCACGGCCCTGCTCCTCTCCCCACGGCCCTGCTCCTCTCCCCACGGCCCTGCTCCTCTCCCCACGGCCCTGCTCCTCTCCCCACGGCCCTGCTCCTCTCCCCACGGCCCTGCTCCTCTCCCCACGGCCCTGCTCCTCTCCCCACGGCCCTGCTCCTCTCCCCACGGCCCTGCTCCTCTCCCCACGGCCCTGCTCCTCTCCCCACGGCCCTGCTCCTCTCCCCACGGCCCTGCTCCTCTCCCCACTGCCCTGCTCCTCTCCCCACGGCCCTGCTCCTCTCCCCACGGCCCTGCTCCTCTCCCCACGGCCCTGCTCCTCTCCCCACGGCCCTGCTCCTCTCCCCACGGCCCTGCTCCTCTCCCCACGGCCCTGCTCCTCTCCCCACGGCCCTGCTCCTCTCCCCACGGCCCTGCTCCTCTCCCCACGGCCCTGCTCCTCTCCCCACGGCCCTGCTCCTCTCCCCACGGCCCTGCTCCTCTCCCCACGGCCCTGCTCCTCTCCCCACGGCCCTGCTCCTCTCCCCACGGCCCTGCTCCTCTCCCCACGGCCCTGCTCCTCTCCCCACGGCCCTGCTCCTCTCCCCACGGCCCTGCTCCTCTCCCCACGGCCCTGCTCCTCTCCCCACGGCCCTGCTCCTCTCCCCACGGCCCTGCTCCTCTCCCCACGGCCCTGCTCCTCTCCCCACGGCCCTGCTCCTCTCCCCACGGCCCTGCTCCTCTCCCCACGGCCCTGCTCCTCTCCCCACGGCCCTGCTCCTCTCCCCACGGCCCTGCTCCTCTCCCCACGGCCCTGCTCCTCTCCCCACGGCCCTGCTCCTCTCCCCACGGCCCTGCTCCTCTCCCCACGGCCCTGCTCCTCTCCCCACGGCCCTGCTCCTCTCCCCACGGCCCTGCTCCTCTCCCCACGGCCCTGCTCCTCTCCCCACGGCCCTGCTCCTCTCCCCACGGCCCTGCTCCTCTCCCCACGGCCCTGCTCCTCTCCCCACGGCCCTGCTCCTCTCCCCACGGCCCTGCTCCTCTCCCCACGGCCCTGCTCCTCTCCCCACGGCCCTGCTCCTCTCCCCACGGCCCTGCTCCTCTCCCCACGGCCCTGCTCCTCTCCCCACGGCCCTGCTCCTCTCCCCACGGCCCTGCTCCTCTCCCCACGGCCCTGCTCCTCTCCCCACGGCCCTGCTCCTCTCCCCACGGCCCTGCTCCTCTCCCCACGGCCCTGCTCCTCTCCCCACGGCCCTGCTCCTCTCCCCACTGCCCTGCTCCTCTCCCCACGGCCCTGCTCCTCTCCCCACGGCCCTGCTCCTCTCCCCACGGCCCTGCTCCTCTCCCCACGGCCCTGCTCCTCTCCCCACGGCCCTGCTCCTCTCCCCACGGCCCTGCTCCTCTCCCCACGGCCCTGCTCCTCTCCCCACGGCCCTGCTCCTCTCCCCACGGCCCTGCTCCTCTCCCCACGGCCCTGCTCCTCTCCCCACGGCCCTGCTCCTCTCCCCACGGCCCTGCTCCTCTCCCCACGGCCCTGCTCCTCTCCCCACGGCCCTGCTCCTCTCCCCACGGCCCTGCTCCTCTCCCCACGGCCCTGCTCCTCTCCCCACTGCCCTGCTCCTCTCCCCACGGCCCTGCTCCTCTCCCCACTGCCCTCCCTTCTCCACTCCTCTCCACTCCCCTTTCCCCCCTCTCTCCAGGCGGACAACACCACGTGTCGGCGGTTTGTCGGCACGGGGCTGGGCCTGGCGATATGCAAGGCAAGGCGCTGGTGAACCTGATGGACGAGCCATCACACTACTCCTCTCTCCGCCCCTTTTCCCCGCCCCCTGCCCCCTCCCCTTGTTCTCCAGGCGGACAACACCACCTGCCGTAGGTTTGGCGGCACGGGGCTGGGCCTGGCGATATGCAAGGCGCTGGCTGAGTGACTGGTAACCATTCCCTCTCCTCCTCTCCCCCCAGGCGGACAACACCACCTGCAGACGGTTTGGCGGCACGGGGCTGGGCCTGGCGATATGCAAGGCGCTGGCTGAGTGACTGGTAACCATTCCCTCTCTTCCTCTCCCCCCAGGCGGACAACACCACCTGCAGATGGTTTGGCGGCACGGGGCTGGGCCTGGCGATATGCAAGGCGCTGGCTGAGTGACTGGTAACCATTCCCTCTCCTCCTCTCCCCCCAGGCGGACAACACCACCTGCAGACGGTTTGGCGGCACGGGGCTGGGCCTGGCGATATGCAAGGCGCTGGCTGAGTGACTGGTAACCATTCCCTCTCCTCCTCTCCCCCCAGGCGGACAACACCACCTGCAGACGGTTTGGCGGCACGGGGCTGGGCCTGGCGATATGCAAGGCGCTGGCTGAGTGACTGGTAACCATTCCCTCTCCTCCTCTCCCCCCAGGCGGACAACACCACCTGCAGACGGTTTGGCGGCACGGGGCTGGGCCTGGCGATATGCAAGGCGCTGGCTGAGTGACTGGTAACCATTCCCTCTCCTCCTCTCCCCCCAGGCGGACAACACCACCTGCAGACGGTTTGGCGGCACGGGGCTGGGCCTGGCGATATGCAAGGCGCTGGTGAACCTGATGGGGGGCGAGATCTCCGTGACCAGCGCCCATGGGCAGGGCTCTACCTTTGAATTCACCGTGTGCGCAGGAGTGAGCGAGGACGTGAGCGAGGACGTGGGCGAGTGTGGGTCAGTGAGTGAGGAGGGAGAAGGGGAGGAGGACGAGAGTGAGTATGAGATTGAGGAGGAAGAGGAGGAGGGAGTGGGGGAGACAGATGAGGAGGGGCATGAGGAGGAGGAAGAGGATGGGGAGGAGGAGGATGGGGATTCAGGTTCGGAAGATGAGGAATCTGAGAACTACTATCGCTCACGGACGTCCCGAACCTCCCTGGATTACCGAGCCTTGACTGTCCGAGGCTCCGTAGGCCTCCCGGTCCGCAGCCGAACCGCCAACTCAGCATTGGGTGCAGGTTCGCACCGTCTGCCCCTCACCATACCAGCCACAGGTTCGGAAGAGAGCAGAATCAAGAAGTCGTCAAAAGGTGCAAGTATGGGAGGAGCCCGAGCCTCGTCAGGTTCGGGCCGGACGTCCAGCCGAGGTAGGGCAAGCGCCGGACCATTTTCCCCCACCACAATCGCCCAGGCCAACGCTTCTGGTGCATACGGAAGTGCTAAAGCTGCTGCCGGAGCTGCAGGTTCGGCAACCAGCTTCGGACACACGAGGAGTCGAAGCCTCGGTGGTGGGCGGCATCGTTCGTTTGAAGAGGCAACTCCAGTGCTTCCGGCTGTAGCACGGCAATGGAGAGTGCTTGTAGCAGAGGACAACAAAGTGAACCAGCTGGTGGTAACCCGCATGCTGAAGAATCTAGGGCTCCGATTCGATGTCGTGGACAACGGGTTGCAAGCTTTGGAAGCTTGTCTTAAGACTAGATATGATTTGGTGCTGATGGATTGCCATATGCCGGAGATGGATGGGTTGGAGGCGACTAGGAGGATTAGGAAGGCAGAGGCGGAGAGGAGCTGTAGGAGCGAAGGGGATAGCCGGAGTGATTGTAGCGATGGTGAGAGTAATGAGAGGCGTAGGAGGGAAGGTGGGGGTGCGGATGCTACTGGTGCAGCAACTGTTGGTGCAGTGACAGCAGGTGATGGGTTGAGTAAGAGTGGCAGAAGCAACAGGAGCAGTGGTGGTGCGGCTGTTATGAGGAGGAGTGGCAGCTCTAAGAAGGCAGGGAGTGCTGGCGGACTGAGCAGGCGGAATAGCGGAAAGGGCAGTGGTCGGTTTAGTGCGGGGGAGAACGGTAAGGATGGAGGATTGAGCGAGCAACAGGGGCCGGAGCAGGGGCTGGTGGAGCAGCAGGAGGAGCAGGCAGCGGTGGTGATAGCGGCGCTGACAGCGAGTGCATTTGACTTTGAGAGAGAGGCGTGCTTTGCTGCAGGAATGAACCATTTCCTCACCAAACCCATCCGCCCCAAAGACCTGCAGCAGCTGCTGCTCTCCCTCGCCTCTGAGTGAGTCACGGCAAGACCTTGAGGCTTGGCAAGGAGCGGGAGAAGCAGCAGGAGGGGGGCTGCAGGAGGGATAGCACAGACATGCTTCACTTCCTCACCAAACCCATCCGACCTGATGAGTTCCAGCATTGATCCACTTCCTCACATGCAACCGCTGCTCTGCTCTCTCTCACCACTTCCTCTTGCTGCACGGCACGAATTGAAACCTAGGGGGAAATGGGGGCGACAGAAGCCATGAGGCATAGGGCATGGCAGGACAGAAGCCATGGGGCATGGGGCATGGCAGGACAGAAGCCATGGGGCATGGGGCATGGCAGGACAGAAGCCATGGGGCATGGGGCATGGCAGGACAGAAGCCATGGGGCATGGGGCATGGCAGGACAGAAGCCATGGGGCATGGGGCATGGCAGGACAGAAGCCATGGGGCATGGGGCATGGCAGGACAGAAGCCATGGGTCATGGGGCATGGCAGGACAGAAGCCATGGGGCATGGGGCATGGCAGGACAGAAGCCATGGGGCGTGAGACATGGCAGCGGCATGAGGCACGTGGCATGGCGCAAACCATGTGGCAGAGAAACCATGGGACACGGGACATGGGACATGGCAATGAATGAGCTGGACGCATGGGATATGGCCTGCTTCTTTCTCCACAGTGCACACTTCTGGGTTGGCTTAAGAGTCAATCTCCAGAGACGCTTGTACCTTTTCGCGCGCGATTTGCAACAGTCGGACCGCATTCTGATCAGTTTCTGTGAGTCTGTCTGCCTGACTCCGCTCTGCGTTCATCTTGCTCTGTCCTTCCTCCTGATTCATGCTGCTGGTGGTGCATCCAGCAAGAACGACGAGTTCTGTCCGTACCAGCTCGCGCCGCGTTTGTCACATCTGGCACTCCTTTCAAGATGCACTCCTCCGCATGCTCCCATACCGATAAACCATACAGCAGCACGCGTCGTTTTTCCTTGGGATTATCAGCTACTTGATTCATAGCCTACGATATCCATGACTTTCATCTAGTTCTTTGATCATCTGCTTCTCGTCTTATTGATGCGTTAGGAGCTTGCATCGCTTCGGTTCTGCCGCCGTTTTAGCACCCAACCACCTCGTTTTCTTGGGAAACAGTAGTCTTCAATACCTGCGTAGATCCGTGTCGTGACTTCCGCGTAGAAAACTAGCAGAAAAGTTATCGTGTGCTCCTGACCGATAATAAACGCGGCGACGAGCTGTTTAAGACACTACCTGAGGCTCTTGACTACAATCAGGGAAGCTGCTCTGGCCAGGAACCGAGCGAAACCGTTTGCTATGTCGTCATACCGACATCATGTAAATGATCACTCACATCAGTCTCTCTTACGTTCAATCTCACGACATCAAGTAAAGACGATTCCGTCTCTCTTTGCCTTAACGGTAGTGTCCTCACTGCTCACTTTCTCGTCTCTTAGGATAGCCGCCGGAAATGTAGGTAGCAAATCGAAGGCGGCTTCAGAGTGCTTCACTGGCTACGAGAAAGGATCGACTCATGGCAGACTAGATCACGTTAAGGTGTTCGGTGCTGGCATCGAGCCATCCGTGAAGCTGAACCAGCAACTCTGCTTCAACATCGCCGCAGAGGTACACGACTTCTTCAACTTATCGCATGTTACTGCCGGAGTTATTCAAATACAAGATGCGCGTCAGCGTATTGATCGTCATGGTGGTTCCTTACATTAAGATTGAACGTCTTTGGCATCCGTTAAATTTTTTACATCAATTGGTTCCTGAAATGGTGCTCAGTTGGCGTCTCTACTATCATCACACTTCCTGATACATGATTACAAGTGATAATACATCATAGCATGATCCTCCGCTTGAGCTACGGGAGCCAGGTGTCTCGTTGATCTCGCTATTGTCACGTCAAGTAGATCCGATGTGAGCATTTTCACGTCACGACGCGAAGCCGGCTTCATTAACCACACGTTTGCACGTTTAAAACATTCCTCTCTTCACGGCCTCCTTTCAATTGAGCTTCACCCTTTTTTTACGTTGACAGGATTGCTCGCCTTCTGACCCAGATAAGCATTTGCTCGCCTTCTTTCTCTATGTGACTGCAGGATTCAGCGGGCCGTCGGCTGGACAAGGGCTGTTCGCCGGCGACCACCACTTGGGAGGTGCTCCTTCACTCCGCGGACGGCCGGATCCGCGTCAGCGCGCCCGTCACGCACGCTGCAGACGAGGGGAACCACGTGGTGCGTGTGCGTTGGCGTGTTCTGGAAGCGGTTATTGCATGCTGGAATCCCCCGCATGTGGTGTGGCAGCGGTGGCTTTTGAGTCGAATGGATAGTCAGCACCTTGTTTTGGGACCTGTCATGGCAGATTGTACTTCCGCATGTGGAGTAACGGAGACTCTGATCCGACGTACCCATCTCGCAGCCTGCTCGCAGTCTGACATGCACAGTCGGACATTCAGTCTGGCGCGTACAGCCTGGCATTCAATTAGACATGCACTGTTTGACATACAGTCTCACTTACAGCCTGTTTAGACTCAGAATTTCTGCACGTCCTCACTCCCTCCCGTACCACCGGTCGTGCTACCGTCTATTGGAGCCAGGCGAGTACGTGCTCTCCGTGTACCTGGCGGGCGTCCATGCCTCCTCACTTAACCCATCGTCCCTCCCTCCTCATTCCCTTCCCCATCACCAGTCGTGCTACCGCCTGCTGGAGCCAGGCGAGTACGTGCTCTCCGTGTACCTGGCGGGCGTCCATGCCTCCTCACTTAACCCATCGTCCCTCCCTCCTCATTCCCTTCCCCATCACCAGTCGTGCTACCGCCTGCTGGAGCCAGGCGAGTACGTGCTCTCCGTGTACCTCACCGGCGTGCATGCCGCCTCGCTGACGGGCAGCAGGGACGAGGAAAAGGCCTTGAGGCACCTCAAGTTCCAGCTAGTCGGCCAGTACAACGTGTCTGCGCAGGTAGGGGTTGATTTCGTGTTGACAACAAAGTTGTATAAACATGATGAAGCTCGCCCTGCATGCGTCACCTGCCAGCTTTCAGCGCGCAGGTGCTGGAGGAATCGATTCAAAGAACATTAGTCTTTTCCGCTGTGTGTGCATGCAGCCGTCAGACCCAGTGGCGTACAAGGAGGAGTACGCTCGCCTGCAGGCGGCGCTACCAGGCTGCACGGCTCAGGTGCTGGAGGAATCGGCGAACGCAGGGCGGTGGATTGACCAGCAGTGGTTTCCCTTCGCCTGCAATGTTCAACGGATCACCCCTAGGTAAGATCGCTTGCGTGTCGAACAGATCTCTTGGATGAAAAGAGGGTCTTGCAAATAACTTCGTACGAAGTGGTTAAGAATTGCCATCCAACAAGCCTCGATGGCGCAGTCGGTAGCGCGTAGGTCTCATAGCATTCCGACTCCCACTCAGCTGGGCGGAGCCATCCTAAGGTCGTGAGTTCGATCCTCACTCGGGGCAATATTTTTGCTAGGTTCTGAACGTCTCTGAACACTATCGTTTGCATCTGGCCATACCTTGTTCACATCAACTCACATGCCAGCTGAAATCTTTACAGAACAGAGCCTGCACATCACTAAGTGTGTGCCTCTGGTGGTGATTCCCTTATGCATCACCCAAAGATTCACTCCCACGTAGCAGCGGCATGTGTCTGCAAATAGTGGGGGGAAATTTCTCTTCTATCCCACCACACTCATTCAGCAAATTGAAAGCATTGTGTTTTTAAATTCTGCTATGTCTCTCAGCAGCACTACCCTACTCTACCCACCCTGGTGGTGGTGGGGTCACCAATACCTTTTGCAGTGACTCGTTTAATAAGGCGTCCACCAGACGAATCAGGGTACATTCCGGGCTCTGGTCAAACCACTGGTTATCCATGCCTGCGACCCTAAATCGTACCTATTTCTCACCAATTATGCTAATTGTAAGGTTGGCTACAGTGTTAACCAGAGGTTCTGACCAGAGCCCGGAATGTACCCTCACTCCCTGGTAGCAGTGGCACACGTCTGCTAGTGGTGGAGGATGGTCTGCATTTTTTGGTTGACTCAAATTTTGAGTCGTTTTTTTAAGTCGACTAACAAATGCGTTGATTCTTTTATGCAGGCATTCACCAGACGAATCGCTGCCAGGTAGCAGTGGCATGCGTCTGCTAGTGGTGGGCATATCACACACACCCTCTCCGATACAATAGTCTTACCCCTCGCTTTCCCCATACCCACCAGTGCTGCACGCGCATGTTTGAAGGGAAAACGACTGCTGGTGGTGGGGGACAGCCAGCAGTGGGTGCTCTTCTCGCACCTGCTCTCCTTCCTCTCCTCCTCCAACCGCTGCCGCCTCCTCCAAGGGCTAGGCGACCGCCGCTCGTCTCTGGTTCGCCTCAGATGTGACAAGGTGTGCGCTGGGTTGGAGGGAAGAAGAGAAGAGAGTGAAAGAGAGCGCTTGCCTTACATGCTTTGTTCCATCCATCACTGGAAGACTCTGAAAGAAAAAGACAACACAGTGGGCTATGGATTGTAGATGTATGTCCTGTTTTTCATTAAGTTTTGGTTCTTTATGCACCTACATTTTGTATTAATGGAAGGCTTGTGAACTGGCTCATGGGTTGCAGGATATGTGGTCTCCTTCTCTCCCTGCACTCCTATTACCATCAGGCGCACATGCAGGGGCCTCGTTTTGAGGCGCCTCAAAATGTGAACTGGCTCATGGGTTGCACGATATGTGGTCTCCTTCTCTCCCTGCACTCCTATTACCATCAGGCGCACATGCAGGGGCCTCGTTTTGAGGCGCCTCAAAATGTGAACTGGCTCATGGGTTGCACGATATGTGGTCTCCTTCTCTCCCTGCACTCCTATTACCATCAGGCGCACATGCAGGGGCCTCGTTTTGAGGCGCCTCAAAATGTGAACTGGCTCATGGGTTGCAGGATATGTGGTCTCCTTCTCTCCCTGCACTCCTATTACCATCAGGCGCACATGCAGGGGCCTCGTTTTGAGGCGCCTCAAAATGTGAACTGGCTCATGGGTTGCACGATATGTGGTCTCCTTCTCTCCCTGCACTCCTATTACCATCAGGCGCACATGCAGGGGCCTGTGCCGTGGGTGTGGGGGTTAAAAGGGCAGCACAGCACAGCACATGGCAGTTCACCACTTTTGCAATGTCTCAAAAGCCGATTTCCTTCCATGCCTCCATGCACTCTGAATCCCACCAGGCGCACATGCAGGGGCCTGTGCCGTGGGTGCCAGGGTCAGAGGGGCAGCACGTGGCAGTGCACCACACCTACTTCGCCCCCACTGTTGCCGCCACCTACTATGGCGCAGAGGGCAACGGATTCGCTGTTGCAAGGTGGGTCGGCGTCTACTGTGCTGTTACTGAACTAGGCTGGTTACAATGGTATGATGCTCCCTCGCCTGTCCTTGCACCACACTTTCATTGCCCCCACTGTTGCCGCCACCTATTACGGCGCAGGAGCAACGGGTTTGCTGTTGCAAGGTAGGGTCATGGTTACTGACCTCGTTACTGTCTTATGCTGGTTACTGTGCGACCAAGGCGTTCTGTTTCTGTTTTGTTCTGTTTTGTTCTGTTCTGTTCTGTTTTGTTTTGTTTTGTTCTGTTCTGTTCTGTTTTGTTTTGTTCTGTTCTGTTCTGTTTTGTTTTGTTTTGTTCTGTTCTGTTTCTGTTTTGTTCTGTTTTGTTCTGTTCTGTTTTGTTTTGTTTTGTTTTGTTCTGTTCTGTTCTGTTCTGTTCTGTTCTGTTCTGTTCTGTTTTGTTTTGTTCTGTTCTGTTCTGTTTTGTTCTGTTCTGTTTTGTTTTGTTTTGTTTACCCCACCCTGTGATCCTGGTGCCTCAATACAAACAAAGGATGCTTCTGCATGACCAGACCAATCTTCATACCTGCAAGACATCTCTGTTCCTGCCTTACCTGCTCTCCCCTTGCCTCCCACCCCCCGCTGTCACCATCGTGCAATCCTGATGCCCCAATCCTGAACAGAATACCAGTAGATCTGAATGCAACCACCCCGAATTCAGCTCTCCTCAACAAGAGGAAGCGCCGGCAGGACCAGGATGAACCCGCTCCAAGCACTGGTGGAACAACAAGTGCCAGCAGCAGCAGGAAGTGGAGCGGAGACAGAAGTCAGGGAGGAGTGGAGATGTACGATTCACTCGAGAGCCGGGATGTGCTTGATATGACCGCTACAGACGACGACCCTCGGGATCTCCGAACGGCGAGCAAGATTCGGGAGGAGGAGCAGGAGAGGGAGCGGCAGCGGGCGGCAGATGCCGACCAGATTGTGGCGGTGTTTGTGGCGCATTCGAACGCGTCAGAGCCACTGTACAGGGATTGGATGGTGAACCACACGCGGCGCGGACCGCTGGCCAATGAGCACGCGCCATTTGACTTTGTGCTGGCGTCGAGTGGGCTGCATGACCTGGCGGCGTTTGATTCGCCAGAGGAATACGCTGCCGCTCTTGGTAAGCTGCCTCTAACCTGAATTGTGAGATGTTATGGAAATTCCCGTTAGCTGTCTGGAGTAGATCGTTGTAAAGCCTTTTATCTGAGCACCCAGGTTTGTCAGGCAAATCTGGGTGCTTGAATTGAAGGCCTTACAACATGAACCCTCTTTCTCTGATCGGATAGCTGCATCATTCCTTTGGGCCTTCCATGAGTACGGTCCTTACTCGTTTCATGCCCCTTTCGCTCCTCAGACCGGGAGTTTGTGGCGTCGGTGCGCTTTGCTGTGAATGGCGGCATGGGAGGGCCGGGGTCAGCAGTGGTGTGGCTGGGGCCGTGGGCAGTGCAGCAGTCAGCCGTTGCCCCTAACCTGCTGCATTCCATGAACCACCCCCGCCTCTCTGCTTTCGACGCCGCTGCGCACAGGTTAGCACATCCCTCTAGATATATTTGAGTCACTTGGTGTGGTTGGGACCGTGGGCAGTGCAGCAGTCAGCTGTTGCGCTTAACCTGCTGCCTCCCATGCACCACCCTCGCCTCTCTCTCTGCTTCTGACCTGCTGCCTTCCTGATGCAGCGCTAAGGTTAGCACCCAGGCGCTCCTCTGTTGCTCTCAGTGGATGTTGCTGTTGCTGTTCCCAGCCTGCTACTTGCATTCCCTGAACAGGAACTTCCTGTTCTTAAATTTTTGAATTGCATTGTTGTGAATGGCTTTCTGTTCTCTTTTCTGTTTTTTTTATCCCTTGTTTGCATGTGCAGCCTGATCAATTCATGGAAGGTTCCTTTCATTTCGACCATACCCATGACACTATCGAGGCCGGACCTATCAAAGGATGGCACACATTATTCATGGCCTGTGTCCATGGCCATGTTGGAGCTATGGCTTTGCTCTGTATGCCCCGTGCAGCCTACCATAAAGGATTGTTAGTGTAGAAGATGTTGATGCCCGTCACTTTGAAGTTCTCATTATTGCTAACATTGTAATAATACAGCTGTATGCCTCTACAAATTCAGCACACTCAATCAGTGTATTGCAGTGGGACCAACAAAGCCAACACAAGATATCGAAGTGAGTGTCTTTATTCGTGATAGTGTATTTATTCGTGATAGTGTCTTTATTCGTGATAGTGTCTTTATTCGTGATAGTGTCTTTATTCGTGATAGTGTCTTTATTCGTGATAGTGTCTTTATTCGTAAGTCAATAACTCATAATCAGTGAACAATTTTCAGCGTTTTTAACAGGTTGCCGTTCACCGCGCCGTAACGGGTATCAGCGAAGGCAACATGCACCATACCGAGCCAGCTGTTGCAGGGAGAGTGCTTGTGTGAGATTCGGAAGAGGTTCTGCGGTTTCCGCTATGGTTCGGTCCGGTGACTGCTAGAGCCCGTTGCTTCTTGTCGCTCCATCCATCTCACTTGTCTCGGGTTCAGCCATGGCTGCTGTGCTGTGCGGCTATATCACGCCCTAGTTTAGTGGTTTACCTGAAGCTTGCACCTTCTCCTAGAACAATTGGCTCCGACTTCTTGTCGGTGAGTGATCTGGGTTAGCCCCCGTGTTCGTAGCAGGCGGTTGCGCCGTTTTCCCTCGTGCAGGTGCGCGTCATCTCGCGACGGGTTCTGCTCCGTCTCTTTCTCGCCACGATCAGTGCTCTATCAAGAGCTTCCTGGCTTCATTTTACCGCGTTGAAACACTGCCTTTCCTCCCCTTCGCTGCCTGCGTTCTCCTCGGTGCTCCCCAGCAGTAAGCTTTAAAAGAGCAGTCACCTGCTCTTTAGGGCCAGCATCCAGACGTTTTAGAAGTTTTTGCCGGGTCTCTCCTCTCTCAAAAGTCGCCCCCCGGCAGCCATGTCGTCCCTTCTCTCGAACCTTCCGTCTCGCGGCAATTTTTCCGCGGCGGCGTGCACGCTGTCGTCGTCGATCCCGGTGTACATCTGCGACCACGACACGTCTCCGCCGTCCGATCAGATCATCACCACCGATCCGACGAACATCCTGCTTCGCGCACTCACCATGAAGAAGACGCGCGACGCGGAAGTGGCGAAGGCGGCGCAAGAAAAAGGGAAGAAGATAACTTCGGGTGCTTCTGGTGCATCTGCTGCTGGTATCGGTGCTGCTGGTATTTCCGGTTCTGCTGCTGCTGGTACTGGTGCTGCTGGTGCCGCTGGTGCTGCTGCATCAGCTCATGATAAAGGCAAGAGGCCTGCTACTGGTGATCCAGGTCAGGACGACGCGATTGGCTCGTCTAGACCCGGCGGGAGACCCGCCAAACGAGGCCCGGGCGTGGGGAGCAGCGGCGGCGGCGGCGGGGTGGAGCAGGATCGGGAAGCGGGGCGGACTATAAGGGGGATGACGAGCGAGCGGGATGTGGACGGGTTGACTGTTGAGCGGCTGAGAGCTTGCTTGAAGGAGAAGGGGTTGTCGATCAGAGGGAGGAAGGAGGAGTTGGTTGCCAGGCTGAAGCAGGCTCTGGGGTTGAACTCTAATTAGTGGAGAAGGGGTTGTGATGTGATTGGGTTGACTGTTGAGCGGCTGAGAGCGTGTTTGAAGGAGAGGGACTGTCGATCAGAGGGAGAAAGGAGGAGCTAGTGGCTAGGCTGAAGCTGGCTCTGGGGTTGAACTCAAACTGGTGGCTTTGGTTTGGTGACTAGTGGAAATTCATGGTGACCCACCAGTGGACTGGACACAGGTTATTGATCAGGGTCGAGTTGGGTCTTCTTGGTTACTGGAGCCAGTGTTGGAAGACCTGCGCTGGGGATTCTGACAGCTAGGTGTACCCCACCTCAAATGAGTGGACAGGGCAGGACACAGGACACAGCCATCCACCATAAGTTGGCATGGTCTAGCCTGTTATGGTGGGTTGCATGTGCTCGTTGAGGGGAGGCGGAGCGGAGCCAATTGCAGTGTATTGCAGTGTAGTGTGTGCTTGTATCGTGGATGAATTCCTTGCAAGCTAAGGTTCAGGCCTTCAGATTCGTTTTGGGCGACCCTTAGTAATCAGGGTCCTAGGTATAGTCAACCCTGATGCTCAGGGTAAATTTTTTGTTTCCCTGACAAATGCAGGGTAAAAAAATTGTAAGTCTGTTTGGTCAGGGTATTTTTTGTTGTGTCTGTTTATGTGTGTTTAGTCTGTTTGATCTGTTTGTATCATAGATGTTGGCTCAGTTGGTTCGATTCCGAGTTAGATCTAGAAGGTTGCCGGTTCGAGTCTCATTGTCGGGAGGGTTTTGCTACAGTGTTTCGTCTCGCTACGGTCTGTTCGGATCAGTGTAACTGGGCTTGTACACCGTACAGTCAGAGAAATATGTTCGTTACGCTGTTTTTCAAAGGGTATTAAAAATCTTACACTTTCTGGCCTAGGGTAAAAAATCCACTACCCTGCCTGTGAAAGGGTAACTGAAAAAAAGCGGCCGCCAGTCAGTGCAAAAAGGGTATTTTACCCTGATAACGAGAGGCCTGCTAAGGTTCCGTGCCTGTGAAAGTATGTGCATTGATTTGTGTCTCATTTCAAGTTCCACAGCCCCTGCCAACTGCCGTTTAGGACAAGTGGTTCTCAGGTTATCATCACAGCAGCCTCTGTAAGGTGAATGACTTCCAAACTAATCACAAGACAGCCTCCAGGCGGGCTCATTTCGTAATCAGATACCCACAAACCAACTGAATCTTTCTATGTGCGACTCAGAGAATTACCGTATCCTGAACTCTTTTGGGCTCTAGACTTTGGGCCCAAATATCAACAGCCTTCTGTTCAGTACTAAACAGACTTCTCATGGGTCGCATAACAATACCCACTATATTTTGCATGTATTGGATTGGATACTGCATGCTGTCACTCCGCCTTTACAACCAGTGTGTCCTGCAGGCTGCCCCACTCAGTCCACGAGCCGTCATACACGGGCACGTCCCAGCGACCCAGGCGAGCCAGAGCCTGCAGCAACGGGGCATGGGAAGGGAGAGAGGTTCATTAACCGAGGTGCCCTGCAGGCTAGCTTGTGACCCCCTAACCATACAACAGTCAGTCCACGAGCCGTCATACACGGGCACGTCCCAGCGACCCAGACGAGCAAGGGCCTGTAAGGAGGAAGAGAGAGCAGAGAGGGAGGAAGACGAATTGCAGAAGAGGGTGCGAGGGACACAAGGTACAGAAGCAGCAGCACTACCCCACTCAGTCCCTGAGCCATCATACACGGGCACGTCCCAGCGACCCAGGCGAGCCAGAGCCTGCAGCAAGGGAGGGCAGAGGGGGAAGAACATGCGGTGCAGAAGGGGGAAAAGGGAGGCAAATAGCAGGTGTGAGGATCAAGAGGTACACAAGGAGCACTGCTCCATTCAGTCCACGAGCCATCATACACAGGCTCGTCCCACCAACCCAGGCGAGCCAGCGCCTGCACAAGAGAAAGCAGAGGGAGAGAGAGAGAGACGCAATAGCAGGACAAGTACATACCAGAGCAAGCACACAGGCAGTGACGCCCGTGCCACATGAGGCAGCCAAACCAAGGCTTGCAAATAGGCGGCATGTAGATGCAGTGTTGTGCATTGTGGTGGACTGTGGTGCACTGTGGTGCACTGTGGTACACTGTGGTAGAGCACACATACCAGAGAAAGCACGCATGCAGTGACTCCCGTGCCGCATGCGGCGGCCAGAGGCGTCAATATGGGCAGCCCTGTGATGCACTGTGGTGCAGTGCGGTGCAGCTCGGTGCACTGTGGTGCAGTGCACGTACCAGGGCGAGAACGCAGGCAGTGACTCCCGTGCCACATGAGGCAGCGAGAGGCTGCTTGGGGTCCTCAATGTTGACTCCTGCAAGGATTGAAACCAGGAGAAGAGGAAATCGAAACCAATATGTCTATGCACGAATGTAGTGGCACGACAGAGGAGGCAGCAAGAGAGTCTGCTTGACCCCTGTCAGGATTGACACCAGGAGAACAGGTCAGCCGATGCAGCAGCTCAGTCCACACTTCCACTTCCCGTTCCCCTTCCAGACAGCCAATAAGGAGTGTTGATTGATTGACTCTTGAGAGTTTCATGAAAGCAGCACGGTCTGCCCCTCTTTTCCCCCCCTTCCCACGGCCAACTGTGAGAAACAACAGTGACGTGCCTGCACTCTTGAAGGCTTGGGTGAGGTCTGCGGCAGGCTTTAGATGTCCCTGAGGCGTCAGGACCTGGCGGGCACAGGACAGTGGGCAAGGGTAGGCAGAAGATGGGAGGTTGGGACGTCACAGCACTGAAAAGCCATGAGAAAAAAAGATCATGGGAGGTCAATCGATGCTGGTATAGTCTGAAAAACAATTTCTCAGATGATAGAAGTGGTTCAATGGAATGCTGGCTCGCAATTTTCTGTGCGCCACACCTCGGGAAATGGGACATTGAAGCTTCCTGGGATGCTTCCACCTCGAACTCCTGCTCTTGGTTCAGGGTCTATGCCTTTGAACCTGCTTGCACACATGCATAAGAACAGCAGGGCATACACAACATCAGACACACATGCACGCATAGTACACGCGAGAGCAGACATGCATGCACACGCGAGAGCGGACATGCATGCACACGCGAGAGCAGACATGCATGCACACGCGAGAGCAGCCATGCATGCACACGCGAGAGCAGACATGCATGCACACGCGAGAGCAGACATGCATGCACACGCGAGAGCAGACATGCATGCACACGCGAGAGCAGACATGCATGCACACGCGAGAGCAGACATGCATGCACACGCGAGAGCAGCCATGCATGCACACGCGAGAGCAGACATGCATGCACACGCGAGAGCAGACATGCATGCACACACGAGAGCAGACATGCATGCACACGCGAGAGCAGACATGCATGCACACGCGAGAGCAGACATGCATGCACACGCGAGAGCAGACATGCATGCACACGCGAGAGCAGACATGCATGCACACGCGAGAGCAGACATGCATGCACACGCGAGAGCAGACATGCATGCACACGCGAGAGCAGACATGCATGCACACGCGAGAGCAGAAATATTTGCACATGAGATTTAGCAGTTACAGGTGGAGCATATTGAGAAAATATTTTAGTTTCTCATACTGCTGAATCACTGTAACAAGTTATAGAGCCATACGCAACAGGCAACCATACACACAGGGGGTGTCATGCTTCCATGCTGCCATGTCCCCATGCCATCGTGAAAGAAGGTTGTTTTTGCGACGTCTCAAAACCAACCTTGTTTCACAGCAGGCAAGCACCCGCAATACACAAGTACACAAACAGGGGGATTCATACTGCCATGCCGCCATGCCACCATGCCACCATGCCACCATGCCACCATGCCACCATGCCACCATGCCACCATGCCACCATGCCACCATGCCGTTAACCACAAAACATATCCATGATGCTGCTGCAGAGCACACCCCCATTCTTCCACCCACCGAAGTGCATGATGCTTTCACCCCACCTCACCCCACCCCACCCCACCCCACCCCACTCTTCCCTTCCTCTTCCAGCCCCCCCCTTTCCGCCCACCTTCCTCTCGCCTCCCCCACCACTACACACCTGCCAGCAGAGCGGGCGTTGCTGAGTTGATACACCTTATTGTCGATATTAGCCTTCATCTGAAGACATCCAAAGATGTCACCCATACCACCGCACCCCACCACTACACACCTGCCAGCAGAGCGGGCATCGCTGAGTTGATACACCTTATCCTCGATATTGGCCTTCACCTGAACACATGGAAAGGTTAAGATGAACGTTACCACATATAGGCAGCAGAAGTGCATGAAAGAAGCAGAAGCAGAAGCAGAAGTGCATGAAAGAAGCAGAAGCAGAAGCAGAAGTGCATGAAAGAAGCAGAAGCAGAAGCAGAAGTGCATGAAAGAAGCAGAAGCAGAAGCAGAAGTGCATGAAAGAAGCAGAAGCAGAAGCAGAAGTGCATGAAAGAAGCAGAAGTGCAGGAAAGAAGCAGAAGCAGAAGCAGAAGTGCATGAAAGAAGCAGAAGCAGAAGCAGAAGAAGCAGAAGTGCATGAAAGAAGCAGAAGCAGAAGCAGAAGAAGCAGAAGTGCATGAAAGAAGCAGAAGCAGAAGCAGAAGAAGCACAAGGCTTGCAAGATTTCCTTTTCTTAGTGCAGTGAAGAGCAGGTGCAACCAGAACAAAGGCCGGGTTAAGTACTGGACACATTCGATGCAGACTGCAACTGGTACAGGCCTTACCTAGTACAGGCCTTACCCAGCGCAGGCCTTATCTGGCGAAGGGGGAGGGAGGGACACACACCTGATCAATGGACAGAACGAGGTTGGGCTGTAGCTTGGCGTTGAAGGTGAGGAGGCGGTTGGATGCGGCCTGGATGGTTGGAGAGCGGTGAAGACACAGAGAAAGCAACACTAGTGCATCAATTCACATGCTTCAGGTGCCTCGAGCAATGAATGAGCTTGGGCTGCAGCTTCGCATTGAAGGTGAGCAAACGGTTGGATGCGGCCTGGATGGTTAGAGGGAGGTGCAAACACAGAAGAAAGGAGATCAGCGGATATTGGTGTAAAAGCGAGGAGCTGATTTGATGCACCTGGATGGAAGAGAGAGGGGGGAGGAAGTTAGGAGGGGATGAGAGTAAAATGAAGGCAGACCAGCAAGGAGATTTCACTTTTGAGACGTCTGAAGATGCCTACAGGGACGATATCTGTCCTTTTTTTATTTTGATAATTCTCCTAAGAGAATTCACTTTTGAGATTTTTCTTTTGAGATTCCTCTTTTCAGAATTCTTGAAGGGGCGGTAACTGTCACTTTGAATCCTAAACAAATACACACCTTGGTAGAGTAACTGTCCTTGATAGCGGTAGCAGCCGTCTTGTGCCGCCCGGCCGCCTTGTCGGAAGGCTCTGCCTCCACCGGGTAGCCTGCCGCCCGCCAGGCTGGCAGCCCGCCGTCCAGCACTGCCACGTGTGGCTGGCCGAATGCACGGAACATCCTGTGTGTGTTGGGAGGGTCGGAAGGGGGAGAAGAACAAGGTAAAGAACAGAGGGGAATGAAGAAGAAGCGGCAGATGTGAGCCGGCAGTCCACCATCCAGCACTGCCACTTGCGGCTGGCCGAAGGCACGGAACAAGGTGACTTTTGAGTCGACTCAAAAGTCGACTCAAAAGTCTGCTCAAAAGTCGACTCAAAAGTCAACTCAAAAGTCGACTCAAAAGTCGACTCAAAAGTCACCACGCGCGGCTGGGCCAAGGCACGGAACATCCTGTGTGTGAGTTGGGAAGAAGGGAAGAGGGAAAACAAGGGGAAGGACGGCGTGGGGAAGGAAGAAGGGCTGGCAAATGTGATGTGAGCTGTCTGGAAATATCGCTTTTGAGGCGCCTCAAAACTAAACTCGCTTTTGAGAATTCTCAGTATATCACCATCCTGCACCGCCACGTGCGGCTGGCCGAACGCATAGAACATCCTGTGTGTGTTGGGAAGGGGAAAGGGAGGGACAGGGTGGGGAAAGGCGGGGCGGCAGGTGTGAGAGTCAATACTGTTGTTCACCTCTGCTATGCCACGTGTGGCTGGCCGAACGCACGGAACATCCTGTGCGCGTTGGGACAAAGGAAGGGAAAAAGAGGACGGATGAAGATGAAGCGGGTGAAGATGGAGCGGATGAAGATGGAGCGGATGAAGATGGAGCGGATGAAGATGGAGCGCATGAAGATGGAGCGGGTGCAGTGCTGAAACAGAAGCATGATGTTTTTTGGCCCCACTCTGTATGGCACTCAATATGTCCTTGCCATCGTTCTACACTGTGCTGTCACCTTGACAAATGACAACCCAACCACTACGTTGACAAACCCAACCACTTGCCACCGCATAGAACCACTCACCACCACCACGCTCCGGCACTGCTGAGGATGCCATTCCCACGGCACACCACAGTGCTGTCACTAGGGACAACTCAACCACTGCATTTGCAAACCTAACCAATTGTCACCGCATTAAACCACAGCGAACCACTCACCACCACGCCCCAGCAAGGCAAAAGTTGCCCCAGCAACGCAAAAGTACACCACCATGCTGTCATTAGAAGCAACTTAACCACTACATTACCAAGCCTGACCACTTTCCACCGCATCAAACCACAGTGAACCACTCACCACCACGCTCTAGCAGCGCTGAAGATGCCCTTGCCATCGTACACCACTATGCTGTCACTAGACGACAAACCCAAGGCCGACGCCGCTGCAGAAAAGGCGGCCTCTGTCGGCAGCATGTGGGGAAGCTGCCACACAAAATAATATAGGGGCGAAACACAGGCGGGCACAAGAGGAATGATCAGAAACGAGGCGGAGTGGGTAAGGCTGGGTGATCACGTGTATAAAGTGAGGTTTTGAGACGGCTCGAAACCTCACTTCATACACAAGGCCGAGTGGGTAATGCTGGGGGATTTTATGTCATAAAACATGTGAACGACAGACTCGGTTAAAAATGAAGTTCTGAATAAAGTTTCATTATAGTCGATCAAGTTAAACGTACATCCGTGGTGGGGTCAGCAATGGCATCAATGTCAAAGAAGATCGCTCCTGGGATCCTCCCATGCTGCGTGCACGAGAGAGGGAGGGAGAAGGAGAGAGGATGTTTCTTGAAACGTCTCAGCAATGGCATCCATGTCAGAGAAGATTGCTCCTGGGATTCTCCGATGCTGTGTGCGGGAGGGAGGGGGGGAGAGGGAGAGTGAGGAAACCGAGGGAAACTTTTGAACCTTGCCATGAAGGATACCGGCTGCCATCCATCCCAGAAGTCAAAGCATGGCATGGCATGGCACGGCAGCGGCATAATCTGTATCTGGAAGCACAGCATGGATCGATGACTTTTGAGTCGACTCAAAAGTCACCTCATACTCTGTATCTGGACGCACAGCACGCATCAATCAATCAGCCAACTGCTCTCATTCATTCTTCCTTCCTTGCCGTACTGGGCAGGCACATGGGAATTCAAGCACGCTCCCTACCTGGAACTCTTTTGAGGCGCCTCAAAACTCGTCGCACTGCGTTATCGCAGCACACACATGGCCAATTCAAGCACACTCCTTACCTGGAACTCTTCAAACATCTGGCGCTTCTCTGCACTATTGAGAATTCTCAAATGTGACTCCTTACCTGGAACTCTTCAAACGGCTGGCGCTTCTCTGCAGGCATGTACCACGAGGCGTCTAGGACCTGTTGATTGAGAAGGGAGAAGAGGGCGTGGGGTGGGTAAGGAGAGGGAGGAGGGACGAGACGAGGTGAAGGAACATCCAAGGACAAGACGCGTCACTTCACTACATCATATAGAAGAAAGTATCTTGCACATGCGCGTCAGCAATGGGAAGAATGGGCGAACGTGAGAGGATAAGGCATGTGGGTTGTGTGATTAAATCACGGAGAGACAGATGGTTTGCTAGGAACACGCGAAGGTGAGTAGTGTGGCAGGATTACGAGGAAGTGGGTGGAGAGGCAGGATTACAAGAAGGTTGGTGGTGTGGATGGCAAGATCATAAGAAAGCGTTTTCTCAGGATCCTGCTACACCACCAATCTAATTGTAACCCTACCACTCCACCGACTTCCTTGTAATCCTGCCACACTGCACACCTTCCCGTGATACAGCTGCATCACCCGCCTACTCGTGATCCTACACCACTACCGACCGTTTTGTAATCCTATCACACCACCTACCATCTCGTGATGTTAGCACAACACCCACTATCAGCACCTTGACTTTGGAGAGGTTGTCATGCAGCCAGGCAGGGGAGACCACGGGGCTGTTCTGTGGGAGCACTGCTGTTGGGAAAGGAGGTAGCGAAAAAGAGAGGAGTCCCAAAGCAAGTAGCACTGTGAAGATCAGTGTGAGGGTGAGTGTGAGGGTGAGTGAAGGTGAGAGCCAATGTGAGTGTGTGTGAAAGCCAGCCAGGCAGGGGAGGCCACGGGGATTTTCTCTGGCAGCACAGCTGTGGCGAAGAGGGGTAGCAACAGGGAGAGGCATCACAAAGTAAGTAGCACTGCGCGGATGAGTGTGAGGGTGAGAGCCAATGTGAGGCTGTCGTGCAGCCAGGCAGGCGAGGGACCACAGGGCTGTTCTCTGGCAGCACAGCTGTTGTGAAGGGGGGTAGGAACAAAGAGAGGAATTACAAAGGAAATGAGAGAGAGAACGAGAGAGGAAGAGTGCCTGAGCAGGACTGTGAGCCTGTTCTCGGACAGCACAGCTGGAAGGAAAGACCGGTAGCGACAGAAGAATCACAGAGGAAGGAAATTAGGACTTGAGTGTGACCGTTGAGTAAGGCCGTGAGTGTGACTGCGTGTGTAAGTGCACATGAATAGGAGTGCGACTAAGTGCAATTGCGGGTGTGACTAAAAGTACCTGCACTGCTCCACACGCAGAACCTGCACTGCTCCACACGCAGAACCTGCACTGCTCCACACGCAGAACCTGCAGCCATGTCGTGGACAAACGTGCTGCTGGAGCGGCGCTGCGCACAGCTCGCACTGCTTGCTTGCCTGGACCACACTCCATCCATCACGTCAGCACCACACGCAGTACCTGCAACTATGACCACACCCCATCCATCACATCAGCTCCGTGCCTACCTGCAGCCATGGCGTGGACAATCGTGCTGCAGGAACGGCGCTGCGCACGGCTGGCGCTGCTTTCTTGCCTGGACCTTGCGCCTTCGCCGCCAAGGTAGTGCCGGAGCAGAGAGGAGCCGAGGAACTGGGCTGACCTGGAGTTGCACAAGCTGCAGCAGGCGACAGAGCGTGCAGAGAGAGAAGGGAAACGGATTTGACTGAGCGTTTCAACAGTTCTTTGCCAAGAAAGAGGAGGAGCCGAGAGGAGCCGAGAAACTGGGCTGATCTAGACTGTTGAGACGATTTAACAGTGCGACGCCAAGGGAATGACGGAGCAGAAAGCAACCCAGGAACTGGGCTCAGCAGGAGCCACAGCCGTCAACAAAACCTGAAGGGAAGAGTATGTGACTCTTGAGAATAACCTAAAGGTTCTGTGCCCGGAAAGAGAAAGAGCGCAGAGGAGCCGAGGAAACACGTGGAGCTACCACAGGATCAGCTGCTGTCGTCAATAGACGGGAATGGTTTCACGAATGACTTCGGCGGAGTCACTATCAGTGTCACGAATGGGTTTGATAAGGCACTAGCTAGTAAATCTCTGTTCGGTGGACCACGACGGCTCCCTACGGCCAGGCAAGGCCACGATCGCGGACCTGAGTGCTTTCGAGACGGGATGACTATAAAGTCAGATTTAGAATTCGTCCGAAGGACCAAGAAGGCTCCCTACGGTCAGGCAAGGCCACGATCGCGGACCTGAGTGCTTTCGAGACGGCGGACCTGAGTGCTTTTGGAGTGGACGGGGAAGAGGAGGCGCCGGTGAAGAGAATGGGTCCGGCACGGTTCTGCAGATCCTGCACGCAACGGGAGAGATCTTTCGCACGATGAGAGATCTTTCGCACGATGAGGCAAGCGAAGGTGGCGAGCACTGTAGGCTTAGATTCAAAAGCTGGAAAAGATGCTATTGAACAATGAACGTTCGTGAAATTCGTCAGAAATTTCGCGTACCAAGCGGCAAGAAGCTGTCGGAACTAGGCGAAAGCAGGCAGCCATAGAATGATAAAAGGAGCAAAACTGAGTCGAGATGAAGAGATTGAAAGGAATATCAGCCAAGCTCGGCCTCAGGAGTTACGAGGAATCTCTTTTCTAACGAGAGTGACGATGCGAGGCGAGAGGTGCGGCCACGCTTTGGTCAAATGCACTGCATTGCATCGCTTTGCTGTGTCAAGCTGTTTCCGAGGTTGCTGCTGTCGCCAATGCAGGCTTGGATGCTGCTGTGACTTGGCAAGTCCTGCTTGAAGGCCGTGTTTTCTGTAATGAGGATCTTCAAATTTCGAACCTAGGATTGGGAGATCCGTATCACTATCGGGATTCATAAACGAACATTTAGTTGCCGTTAGCGAAGCCCGCTACAATACACTAAGAGCTCGTGCACTGGGAACAACATAAGCAGTCCTCTTCGCTAATTTTTTGTTACACATTCAAGACTGTGAGGCAACCCAAATCGTTCCGACTGAGCCTGACGATGTTGCCGCTTCTGTTTGCAATGTCGGAGCGGCCTCACCATGAGTTTTTGATCGGAAACTCCCTAGTTGCTTGTCAAATGAACTTGTTCTACTGATCTTTCGTCGGAATTCACGCCAAATCTGAGGAGATTACACGTGTCTGCGTTGAATGCTGAGGTGGATGCAAAATGCTGCTTCTCCAGCAACATTCAAGTTATGGCAAAAAAAGCGTGTTACTCCAAATCAACTGCGCTTAAAAAAAAACACATAACAAACTTAAAGGTGGCCTGAAGTCAGGATCGTGTTTGGCCACAATGAACCGGGAACGGTGAAGTGCATACACTCCCAGATGAAATAATCTCTACATTTCCACTCCACGAGAGATAGCGAGCAGTGTCTTGCACCCCAGTGAAGATGATAGGAAGCAATTCCCCAACGTCCTCATTGGCCAATCACACCACGCTCAGATCATCAGCTCCATCCGGTCGCAGCACTCTCACCAGGGACCTCGCTTTAAGCACCATCTCTTCAAACTCACTCTCTGGTTGTGATAACATCACCACTGCCCCTCCTGCTCCAATCATCGTCCTGCCCTTCCGTCTGCCCCTCTTCCGATCCACAGCAGCTTTACTTACCCCTTTCTCCCCCTCACCCTTCATCCATTCCTCTTCTCCACTCGCTCCTCCTCCCTCTACGTCCCAGGCCTTCACTCCTCCCTCCCCATCCTCCCCTGCTTGTTCCTCCCTCTCCAATGCCTCCCCCAACTCTCCACCCATCACAGCCGTTCGAATCACAATATTCAAATCAAAGGTGCCCGAAAACGAAACAAACCCCAAGGCTCCCGAATAAGGCCCCCTCGCCGACCCTTCGATCTCATCCAAGATCTCCATAGATCTTATCTTCGGTGCCCCGGTCATCGAGCCGCCCGGAAACGCTGCCCGAATACAGGCCAGAGGGGAGAGGTCCGGGCGGCGCTGCGCTGCTACAGTGCTCACGAGCTGGTGAACAGTGGCGTAGGATTCAACGACCATGAGAGACGGGACGTGCACCGATCCGATGGTTGAGACTCGCCCGAGATCGTTCCGGAGAAGATCAACGATCATGAGGTTCTCTGCCCGATCCTTGTCACTGAGTGAGGCGAGTGGTTGGGAGGGGTTGGGAGGAGTTGGGAGGAGAAAAACAAACAGGAAGGAACTAAACATGTGAGCATGGCACACAAACGCGAGAGAAAGTTACAGGACCTTCAGCCTCTTCGCTCCCTGGTTGGTTGCTCGCGTGCATACAAACAATACCGTTCCTCCTAAGGGTCTCGTCCCCCTTATCATTTCCTGTCATGGTGACTTAAGCTGCTTCGCCTGGTTTTGCCTACCGCATGCCTCTCTATCCCATGTGACCTGGGGTTCTCCATAGAAAAGAATCCTAGAATCCCACCTCCATGGGGCACATGAGCTCTCTCTCTTCGGCCTTTCGTCCACCTCCGGGGAGGAGCAGCAGAGGGCAAAGGAGATGTGAAGCACAGTGTGGTGCTGGGGGTCTCACCTGCATATGAGCTCTCTCTTGAGCCGCTCATCCTCCTCCTCCGTTGCTCCGCGTCTCACAGTGCCCTTGATGGGCTTCGCCCACAGCATGCCCCGCCTGTCACCCCGCAGGAACCGCTCCGGGGAGGAGCAGCAGAGAGCAAAGGGGGAACGGAGCACATCGTGGTGTTGCAGGTGCTGCTGCTGCTGCTGCTGCTGCTGGTGGTCCTGCCACTCTTTTTGCTGCTGCAGCTGCTGTTGCTTCTCATCTTCCCCCACACTCTTCGGTCCTTTCCCCTCATCTCCCTCCCTCTCCTCCTCTTCCTCCTCTTCCCCTTCCTCCTCCACCCAAATCCCCAATCCCGCCTCTCTCCCCTCGCCCATGGAGTCTTCGCTTGCCTCACCCCTAAAGCGTTGGCTTGACTCACCCCTAAAGTGTTGCCTTGCCTCCCCCATGCACATCCAAGCAGCAAACGGAGCAGGGTTCCGCTCCCTCAGCCGTAGATACGCCCCAAGCGGATCCGACGGCTGAGATTCACTCTCAAGCCGGGTGGTGAGGCACAGCTCATAGCTCTCCCCCTTGGAAATCTCCACCAGGCACCGCGCCACATCAGCCTTGTACCGCTCTCTACACCTCTCAAACACCAGGGGCTCTGACAGAACTGTCAAACCCTCTGCATCTTCTCTTACGGAGTCCCCTCCAGCTGAATCTACTGCAAAACCCTCTACAGTTTCTCTCAATTGCAATGCTTCAGCAGCAGCCGCTACCTCTGCCTCTCTCGCTTGAGAAACCCTTCTTTCTAACAGGGCCATCAGCTTCTCACTTGTCTCTGCCACCCATCTGCACCCATCCGTTTCCTCTCCACTGCTCCCCTCTGCTGCATCTCCACCGCTCCCCTCTGCTACATCTCCACTGCTGTCCCTTACTCTCTCCCCTCCTCTCCTCTCGCCCTCCCTTCCTCTATCCCCTCTCCGCTCTCCCCTCTCTGCACCGCACCGAAGCACATAATCAGCATACACACCATCATCAGCACCCCCACCACTGTCGCCGCAACTCCTGCTATATCCATTCTCGCCTGTCCCCTCATTCATCTCCTTCATCCCATCTTTCTCTCTCTCCACTTTCTCCATACTTTTCTCCTCCACAGCGCACACATACAAGTCTCCCTGGGTATGGTCCAGCACCACCCACCGGTCCACACAGAAGAGAGCCGCGTCCGGGAAGGGCGACCTGTGGCGGTTGTGCTCCGCCCCGCACTCCCTCTTCAGCTCGTACCTGCAGGTATGTAAGCATGGCAGGGCAATGCGTGGCAAGTCAAGGCAAGGCAACTCAAGTAGATTCAATTCAAGGCATGGCATGGCATGGCATGGCATGGCATGGCATGGCATGGCATCTGGGAAGGGCGACCTGTGGCGGTTGTGGTCCGCCCCGCACTCCCTCTTCAGCTCGTACCTGCAGGTATGTAAGCATGGCAGGGCAATGCGTGGCAAGTCAAGGCAAGGCAACTCAAGTAGATTCAATTCAAGGCATGGCATGGCATGGCATGGCATCTGGGAAGGGCGACCTGTGGCGGTTGTGCTCCGCCCCGCACTCCCTCTTCAGCTCGTACCTGCAGGTATGTAAGCATGGCAGGGCAATGCGTGGCAAGTCAAGGCAAGGCAACTCAAGTAGATTCAATTCAAGGCATGGCATGGCATGGCATGGCATCTGGGAAGGGCGACCTGTGGCGGTTGTGCTCCGCCCCGCACTCCCTCTTCAGCTCGTACCTGCAGGTATGTAAGCATGGCAGGGCAATGCGTGGCAAGTCAAGGCAAGGCAACTCAAGTAGATTCAATTCAAGGCATGGCATGGCATGGCATGGCATCTGGGAAGGGCGACCTGTGGCGGTTGTGCTCCGCCCCGCACTCCCTCTTCAGCTCGTACCTGCAGGTATGTAAGCATGGCAGGGCAATGCGTGGCAAGTCAAGGCAAGGCAACTCAAGTAGATTCAATTCAAGGCATGGCATGGCATGGCATGGCATGGCATGGCATCTGGGAAGGGCGACCTGTGGCGGTTGTGCTCCGCCCCGCACTCCCTCTTCAGCTCGTACCTGCAGGTATGTAAGCATGGCAGGGCAATGCGTGGCAAGTCAAGGCAAGGCAACTCAAGTAGATTCAATTCAAGGCATGGCATGGCATGGCATGGCATCTGGGAAGGGCGACCTGTGGCGGTTGTGCTCTGCCCCACACTCCCTCTCTCCCAAAATAGCCATCCCACTGGCTTACCCAAAATAGCAATCCCACTGGCTTACCCAGAATAGCCGACCCACCGACCCTTCGACTTGCACAAAATAGCCGACCCACCGACTTACCCAAAATAGCCGACCCTTTGACTTACCCAAAATAGCCGACACTTACCCAAAATAGCCAACCCAGCCGCCACAGAAGTCAAAGGGCAAAGCCGCCACCTCATGTGGTACACACTGGTGCTGCTGCAGGTACTGTTGGTGGGGGGTGGGGGGGGGGGGGAGTAGGAACGAGGGGATACAGAGGACGAAAAAGAGGCGGGATACAAGATTGAGCGTTAATAAAGCAGCCGCCTCGTGTGGGGTGCACTGGAGCTGCTTCAGGTGCTGTCAAAAGGGAGAGGAGGGGGAGGGAAGTGGGGTAAAAGAGAGAGGGAGGAGAAAGGAGGAGGGAGAGGGAAGCAGGGACTGAGGAGGGGCACGTGGATAAGAAAATGTGATAAAAAAGAGAGTTGAGATGAAGGAGCGGGGCGGGCCCGGCCTACTTGTGTGGTGCACAGCACACTGGTGCTGCTGCACGTGCTGTTCATTGAAGTGGGAGGAGGGAGAGGAAGTGAGGAATGGGGATGGATGGATACGTAGTAAAAGGAATAAAAAACGGGCGATACATGAGCTGAGCACGAAGCCTCGTTTGCTAACTTACCCTGATTACCCGACACGACTCTTTGCTTCCCCTCTTTGACTCAAGCCCCTACTACAAGCCCACCTCAACTAGGAAGGTAAAGACCCCGCCCTCCCACGCCCCTTCCTTCACCATAATCACGCCCCTTCCTTCACTACAATCGCATCACCTGGCCTGAATGCTGAACGCGCCATCTCACAACTCCAAGCTTCAAAAGCCCCAAGCAGCTCACCTCTTCGAGGAAGCTGAATATGCCGCCCTCCCACATGCCCTCCTTCAGTATAGTCACATCGCCCTTGCTGCTCTCCAATCGGAGAGTGCCGCCTGTGACTCTATCGAACGTGCCACCCCCGTTCAATGTGGGCTGGTTTCTGCTGCCGCCGCTACCTTCGATGCTGTTACTGCTGTTACTGCTGCTGCTGCTGCAGATGCTACCAATGCTACCGGTGCTGCTAATGTGAGACTTATCACTTGTATTGCTACTCCTACTGCTAATCCTTCTGCTCCTGCTACTGCTTCTGCTACCTATACTGCCATGGATGTCGTCCCTGTTGCTGCTGTCAAGTTCAACCTTACTACTGTGGTCGCTTGCACTGCCTATGTTGCTCCCTTCCCTGCTGCTGCTTTTGCTGCTGCTATTTCCACTCGCACGGCCATTGCTGTTGTTTGCACTGCCTATGCCGCTCCCATTCTCTGTGTGGCTTGGAAAAGGAGGTTCGGCAACCAAAGGAGGTTCGGCAGCCAGCTGGTATGTGAGCTTGGACCAGAGGGGACCCCCCCTGCCACCCATGTAGGAGAAGCGCGCCAAGCCCTGTCAGGAGGTGAATGAGGGTGTGATGAGGCAAGTTAGAGAGCACAAGGGAAAGAGGGAGAGCTTGGACCAGAGGAGACCCCCCCTGCCACCCATGTAGGAGAAGCGCGCCAAGCCCTGTCAGGAGTGGAAGGAAAGGAAACAGTAAGACGAGGGCAGCTCTAGTATAGTATGCTGAGGGCAGTAGGGGGAGACAGCTGGTGTGTTTTTTGAGACGTCTCAAAAGGAAACAGTAAGACGAGGGCAGCTCTAGTATAGTATGCTGAGGGCAGTAGGGGGAGACACCTGGTGTGGGGAGACACCTGGTGTGGGGAGACACCTGGTGTGGGGAGACACCTGGTGTGGGGAGACACCTGGTGTGGGAAGACACCTGGTGTGGGGAGGCGCTATCCAGCCAGAAGGTGTCGGCGTAGCTCTGCCCTTGCTGGGCCTGGTGGTACCTGCTGTTACACGCACATACACCTGGCGCGAAGCTGGAAAACACACCTTGAGTGCGGAAGGAAGGGAACGCACCTGGTGTGTGGATGCGCTGTCAAGCCAGAAGGTGTCAGCATGACTCTGCCCCTGCTGGGCGAACAGATGGGTGAAGATGACAGCTGCTGCTCGCGATGATGTTGATTGATGAGATGCTGATGCTGATGGTGATGGTGCTGATGCTGATGGTGCTGCAGGCAGTGCGTTGCTCAATCTGTTCAGGAAACCCTCAAGGCGAGTCACGGTCAGATGAAGGTGTTTCGGTGATGCTGATTTTGATGGTGGTGGTGATGCTAATGATGATTGTGGTGGTGATGCTGATTTTGATGGTGGTGGTGATGCTGACAACGATGGCTGTGGTAATATGCTTGGTAGCGACGGTGGCAGCACTGTTGGATCCGCAGCCCAACCATTTCCTTGTGCAATTATGCCCTCAAAATCTCTGCCGTCCAAATCTCTGCCGTCCAAATCTCTGCCGTCCAAATCTCTGCCGTCCAAATTTCTGCCGTCGAAATCTATGCCGTCCAAATTTCTGCCATTCAAACCCGTGCCTCTGCCGCAAACCATAGAGCCATCTCTGGCAGGCACACACAACTGGGCGGCAGATGGGAAGTGGAGAGCAGGGAAGGCAGCGGGAATGCCATGAGAGGCATGCATTGGCTTGGCAGGTAAAAAGAAAGGAGTTTTTACTTGAGAGGACGAGCGGAGGGACAAAAAGGGTGTTGAGAGCTTTAAGACGGAATCCCTTGGCTTATATAAATAAAATCTCCGGGTTAACCATAGCGGAGATGATTTGCGAGCAGATCTTGAGCGTAGATAGGATGACAATATATATATATATACATATAAATATATATACATATATATACATAGATATATATAAGCGCTTGAGCGACCATTTTTAGGCGCTTTAGGTATATATATATATATATATATATATATATATATATATATATATATACCTAAAGCGCCTAAAAATGGTCGTCGTGCTTACCTGTGCCCACAACGCCCCAAAGTGCAACACCCTGTTCCTTACCCGTGCCATCAAATCGAGCTGTGACTGCAGCGCCCCACCTCCTGTTGCTGCTCCCACTGAGACTCTTCCTACTGTCTCTGCGACTTCCGTTGTTGCTGCTGCAGCCACTGCTGGTGCTGTTGCTGTTGCTGCTGCCGCTGGTGCTACTGCTGATGCCGCTGCTGCTCCTACTGCTACTCTGAGAGAACCATTTCGGCTCATGGGCCCCACATCAGCCTCTCTCTCCCTCAAGCTCTCCCTCTCATTGCTTCTTTCCCGCCGTTCTCCCCTCTGCGTTTCATTCCTCTTCCTCCCTTCGTTCCGTCTATCCCTCTCTCTAATCGCCTTCACTGCGAGGGCCTTGAAGTTCTTCAGCAGTTGCCGCCCATACGATGTGCCAATGCTCTCAGGGTGGAACTGCGGCAGGAAAAAGGGTTGGGGAAAAGGGAAGACAAGTCTGATAACAAATCAATGCTGCAACCCTCACATTCTTTTTCTTATCAAGTTTGCAAAAGGCTTAGAATGAAGTTCTTCAGTAGCTGCCGGCCAAACGACGTGCCGATGCTCTCTGGGTGGAACTGGGGAGGCAAGAAACGGAGGACGCAAGAAACCGAGGAGGAAGAAAACGGAGGAGGGGAGAAACGGGTAAGGGAAGAAAAGGAGAAGCGTAGACCCCAGATGCCTATTTGTGAGGCGCCTCAAGAGAAGGAGAAACGTACACCCCAGATGCATTGCCTGCCATGCAATACCTGGCATACCCATAAGCCCGTTGTGATTAGTGATCGGCATACCTCGCAATACTACGTAGCCATCGCACAGCAACCCACCTGCACTCCCACGTGTGGCCGTGTCTTGTGTGCCAAACCCATAATCACTCTACTCGAATTCTGCTGCAGTTTCTGGTGCTGGTGCGGGTGCTGCTGCTGCTGCTGCTGCTGCTGCTGCAGCTCCTGCTGCTGCTGTTGAAGCTGCAGTTGATGATATTGATGTGCTGCCACCATCCCGTTCAAAACCACAGCATTCCCATTCGGCACTCCTTTCCCCTCATAACTCTCTGCCTCCGCACCCCTACCAGACCCGTTCACAACCACATCTCCATTCACTGCGTATGCATCTGCAACTGGGACTGCTGGTGCTGCTGGTGCTGCTGGTGAAGCGATGTGGGTGGAGAGAGGTTCATTGGTGGTCCAGGCGATTGGTATTAAGTCGATGGGAAGACACGTCCAATCGACGGCAAGGGAGTGATAGCGCACCACCTGTAGGAAGGAGTGGGAGGGAGGGAGGGGACGAGTGTTAAGGAGGTAAGAGAGTAATTGGTGGTCCAGGCGATTGGTATTAAGTCGATGGGAAGAGATGTCCAATCGACGGCGAGGGAGTGATAGCGCACCACCTGCAGGGCACACATGCAGCACCGTTTGTGGAGGGGAGAGTGGTAAGAGGCGGGAAGTGGAAAGTTGTAGGCCGTTGATGGTCCGGGCGATCGGTGCCAAGTTGTTGGGAAAAGAAGGGCCTGTGGACGACAGGGGATTGGGAGTGATAGCACACCACATGCCGAGGGGAGTGGATGGGAGGGAACGAGTAAGTGGATGGGAGGGAACGGGTGGATGGGAGGGAACGAGTGGATGGGAAGGAACAAGTGGATGGGAGGGAACGAGTAAGTGGAAGGGAGGGAACGGGTGGATGGGAGGGAACGGGTGGATGGGAGGGAACGAGTGGATGGGAGGGAACAAGTGGATGGGAGGGAACGAGTGGATGGGAGGGGACCAGTGAGTGGATGGGAGGGTACTCACTGCGCAGAAGGGAGAGAGGAATACTACTCACTGCGCAGAAGGGAGAGAGGAATACTACTCACTGCGCAGAAGGGAGAGAGGAATACTACTCACTGCGCAGAAGGGAGAGAGGAATACTACTCACTGCGCAGAAGGGAGAGAGGAATACTACTCACTGCGCATAAGGGAGAGAGGAATACTACTCACTGCGCAGAAGGGAGAGAGGAATACTACTCACTGCGCAGAAGGGAGAGAGGAATACTACTCACTGCGCAGAAGGGAGAGAGGAATACTACTCACTGCGCAGAAGGGAGAGAGGAATACTACTCACTGCGCAGAAGGGAGAGAGGAATACTACTCACTGCGCAGAAGGGAGAGAGGAATACTACTCACTGCGCAGAAGGGAGAGAGGAATACTACTCACTGCGCAGAAGGGAGAGAGGAATACTACTCACTGCGCAGAAGGGAGAGAGGAATACTACTCACTGCGCAGAAGGGAGAGAGGAATACGACTCACTGCGCAGAAGGGAGAGAGGAATACTACTCACTGCGCAGAAGGGAGAGAGGAATACTACTCACTGCGCAGAAGGGAGAGAGGAATACTACTCACTGCGCAGAAGGGAGAGAGGAATACGACTCACTGCCCAGAAGGGAGAGAGGAATACTACTCACTGCGCAGAAGGGAGAGAGGAATACTACTCACTGCGCAGAAGGGAGAGAGGAATACTACTCACTGCGCAGAAGGGAGAGAGGAATACTACTCACTGCGCAGAAGGAGAGAGGAATACTACTCACTGCGCAGAAGGGAGAGAGGAATACTACTCACTGCGCAGAAGGGAGAGAGGAATACTACTCACTGCGCAGAAGGGAGAGAGGAATACTACTCACTGCGCAGAAGGGAGAGAGGAATACTACTCACTGCGCAGAAGGGAGAGAGGAATACGACTCACTGCGCAGAAGGGAGAGAGGAATACTACTCACTGCGCAGAAGGGAGAGAGGAATACTACTCACTGCGCAGAAGGGAGAGAGGAATACTACTCACTGCGCAGAAGGGAGAGAGGAATACTACTCACTGCGCAGAAGGGAGAGAGGAATACTACTCACTGCGCAGAAGGGAGAGAGGAATACTACTCACTGCGCAGAAGGGAGAGAGGAATACTACTCACTGCGCAGAAGGGAGAGAGGAATACTACTCACTGCGCAGAAGGGAGAGAGGAATACTACTCACTGCGCAGAAGGGAGAGAGGAATACTACTCACTGCGCAGAAGGGAGAGAGGAATACTACTCACTGCGCAGAAGGGAGAGAGGAATACTACTCACTGCGCAGAAGGGAGAGAGGAATACTACTCACTGCGCAGAAGGGAGAGAGGAATACTACTCACTGCGCAGAAGGGAGAGAGGAATACTACTCACTGCGCAGAAGGGAGAGAGGAATACTACTCACTGCGCAGAAGGGAGAGAGGAATACTACTCACTGCGCAGAAGGGAGAGAGGAATACTACTCACTGCGCAGAAGGGAGAGAGGAATACTACTCACTGCGCAGAAGGGAGAGAGGAATACTACTCACTGCGCAGAAGGGAGAGAGGAATACTACTCACTGCGCAGAAGGGAGAGAGGAATACTACTCACTGCGCAGAAGGGAGAGAGGAATACTACTCACTGCGCAGAAGGGAGAGAGGAATACTACTCACTGCGCAGAAGGGAGAGAGGAATACTACTCACTGCGCAGAAGGGAGAGAGGAATACTACTCACTGCGCAGAAGGGAGAGAGGAATACTACTCACTGCGCAGAAGGGAGAGAGGAATACTACTCACTGCGCAGAAGGGAGAGAGGAATACTACTCACTGCACAGAAGGGAGAGAGGAATACTACTCACTGCACAGAAGGGAGAGAGGAATACTACTCACTGCGCAGAAGGGAGAGAGGAATACTACTCACTGCGCAGAAGGGAGAGGAATACTACTCACTGCGCAGAAGGGAGAGAGGAATACTACTCTCTATGCTGCAGGTGCTGCGCACCTATGGTCCGCACCATTGTGAACCATATGGTCTTTTTGAGACGTCTCAAAAGCGCACCTATGGTCCGCACCATTGTAAACCACATGGTCTTTTTGAGACGTCTCAAAAGCGCACCTATGGTCCGCACCATTGTAAACCATATGGTCTTTTTGAGACACCTCAAAAGCGCACCTATGGTCCGCACCATTGTGAACCATATGGTCTTTTTGAGACGTCTCAAAAGCGCACCTATGGTCCGCACCATTGTGAACCATATGGTCTTTTTGAGACGTCTCAAAAGCGCACCTATGGTCCGCACCATTGTGAACCATATGGTCTGCCCAGCATACACACAAACGTGACCTTGGTCTGTAGGTGCTGTGCTGCGCTATGGTGGACGGACTTTGTGAGTTCCCCACACGTGTCTCACATGCAGCTGGGCTGGGAGGAGGAGAGGGGGAGGAGCACACCTGGAAACGAGAGCCAGAAGGAATGTTGGCAAAGAGAGGATGACCCGTGTGCTCCACGCCACTGCATGTAGCAAGTCACAACACAAGGAGGTTGCAACGCACAGCACAGCAGCATGGGAGGGATTGGGACACAGAAAGAATGCTCTCGAAAGAACGTTTGTTTTGTGAAAAATGCTCCACGCCACTGCGTGTACGTGAAGAAACTTTTGAGTCGACTCAAAAGTCACCACACGCCACTGCATGCTCGTGAAGAAATGAGGGCCAGAAGGAATGCTGGCAAAGAGAGGACGACCCGTGTGCTCCACGCCACTGCATGTACGCGACAACATGGTTTTACAGCAGAATGGGATGGAAGGACATAAAGGATGTTGTAGACAGGACAGGAGAGTCTGGAAAAAAACGGAGAGATATAAACACCAAAATGTGAGTAACTTCTGAGAAGGAAAACATACAAACACTGGCGTTCAGGGTGTATATACACTCTGAACAATACGCCACACACCCACCTGAATGGGCCTCCCATCCCACGCTGCCACGCATACAATGCATGGCTCTAGAGACAGCATCACCTTGCCTCCATTCAAGTCAATTCAATCACACGCCATGCCATGCATCAAATGCTTTGTAAACCACTTGGTGAGCATACCTGAGCCTCCCATGCACAGGCTCTGGTGCTGGCACCGCACCACCCCCCGACCTCCATTCAGTGCCATGCCATGCCATGCCATGTGATGCTAACCACACACACACACGTGGTGCATGTATGTGCATACATACCTTAGCCTCCCATGCACGGGCTCTGGTGCTGGCATCACGTGGCCTCCGTTCAGTGCTGCCAGGGCCTGTATGAAATGAACCGGCAGACAGGAACGCAATATTGGGAGCAGTAACAGTGGCAGGAGTGACAGCAGGCGGACAGGCAGGCCAACAGGGAGAGGCAACGTAGCAGAGGGACTCAGTTGGGGAAACAGCAGGTCACTGCACAAAGCATGCATGATAATGAGGCATGAAGAATGAATGTGCGTGGAGAGGGACAAGGCAAGAGGGAGACAGTGGATAGAAAGCATGCATCACCATCATGAGATACAACAAGCATGCATCACCACCATCATGAGATACAACAAGCATGCATCACCACCATAAACTGCTGCTGCTTGTACCTCATGATGCCCCATACTGCCATGCCATGTTGACTTTTGAGTCGACTCAAAAGTCAAATGGCCCATACTGCCATGCCATGCAGATTCTTAGGCCTTTTAATGATCGACTCAAGAACTGCTGTAGGGTGTGTGTACCTGGTGGCCCATGCACACTCCGAGAATAGGGATGTCTGCTGTACACTCCCTCAGCTCGTCCGCACACACACCTGCTCACAGCCCGTGCAGGCACAGCCAGCGGTATTCATGCATCATCCACATACAGTGCTGCAGACTGTACCTGGTGGCCCATGCACACTCCGAGAATCGGGATGTCAGTGCATTCCCTCAGCACGTCCGCACACACTCCTGCACACACAGCCATGCACAGCCAGCCAGCCACTCACACACATACACAGTTGCAGCAGGGAGACACGGGGTATGCATAGGAAGAGAGTCTAAGCCGCTAGTGCATTCCCTCGGCATTGAAGAAGTGTTTTGAGACGTCTCAAGACATGGGGTATGCATAGGAAGAGAGTCTAAGCCGCTAGTGCATTCCCTCGGCATTGAAGAAGTGTTTTGAGACGTCTCAAGACATGGGGTATGCATAGGAAGAGAGTCTAAGCCGCTAGTGCATTCCCTCGGCATTGAAGAAGTGTTTTGAGACGTCTCAAGACATGGGGTATGCATAGGAAGAGAGTCTAAGCCGCTAGTGCATTCCCTCGGCATTGAAGAAGTGTTTTGAGACGTCTCAAGACATGGGGTATGCATAGGAAGAGAGTCTAAGCCGCTAGTGCATTCCCTCGGCATTGAAGAAGTGTTTTGAGACGTCTCAAGACATGGGGTATGCATAGGAAGAGAGTCTAAGCCGCTAGTGCATTCCCTCGGCATTGAAGAAGTGTTTTGAGACGTCTCAAGACATGGGGTATGCATAGGAAGAGAGTCTAAGCCGCTAGTGCATTCCCTCGGCATTGAAGAAGTGTTTTGAGACGTCTCAAGACATGGGGTATGCATAGGAAGAGAGTCTAAGCCGCTAGTGCATTCCCTCAGCACGTCCGCACACACTCCTGCTCATGGGGCATGCACAGGCAGGCAGGCAGCCAGCCGCGCACACAACACAAATACACTGTTGCAGCAGTAAGACACGACACGAGGTATGCATAGGAAGAGAGTTTAGGCCGCTAGTGCAATCCCTCGGCACGTCCGCACACACTCCTGCTCACACGCCAAGCAGACTCCGCCCATCAGCAGCAGACACATGCACAGGCAACCAAACCGCCAGCCACACACACAGAGCAACAGGGAGAAAAGCACAGGTCATGAATACGACACAGTACAGCACAGCACAAAGCAGCACCGCACAGCACAGCACAGCACAGCACAGCGCAGCGCAGCACAGCGCAGCGCAGCACACCCGATAACCACACACCCGATAACCACACACCCGATAACCACACACCCGATAACCACACACCTGATAACCACACACCAACGACATCACTGCGCATTTACCCACACACGCACGTACCAATATCGGCGGGGCAGCAGGGTGTCCCGGGCCCAGGTGAGATGACAATGGCATGGAAGAGGCGCTGGTGTAGCAGCAGATCCCTGAGGTATGGCCAAGAGACCTCATTGTTTCGCACAACCACTGGGGGGACTGCAGGTGGACGGGGTAAGGGGAGAGATAGAGAGGGCGAGATGTGTATGCAGGCCGATGCGATGCATACACATAGTGGAAGAGGCGCTGATGCAGCAGCAGGTGCCTGAGGTTTGGCCAGGAGACCTCGTTGTTTCGCACAACCACTGGGGGGACTGCAGGTAGATAGGTGGGACATGCGGAGGCAGAGAGATGGGGGAGATGCAGGCAGTTATACAGAGGACGAGATTCGCTGGTGTAGCAGCAGGCCCTTGAGGTACTCCCAGGGCACCTCGTTTCGCACCACCACTGGGGGGACTGCAGCAGGTGGATGGGGGAAGGGGAGACATACAAAGGGAGAGACTCGTATGCAGGCAGGCAGATATTTAGCGAGAGAGCGGCGTTGATGCAGCAGCAGGCCCTTGCGGTACTCCCAACCCAGCCCCAGGACACCTCGTTGTTTCACACCGCCACTGGGGGGACTGCAGGTGAGACACATGGGGGGTACATGAGGGGGCGCGCGGGGGGAGGGAGGGGCAGGGAGTGGGAGAGAGATGCATGCAGGTATAAAGAGGAGGAGTGGCGGCGGTGCAGCAGCAGGTGCCTGAGGTCCTCCCAAGAGACATCGTTGTTTCTCACCACCACTGGGGGGACTGCAGGTGGACGGGTAGGAGGACAAGGGCAGCAGAGAGATAGGGGAGATGCGCACGGACATGGATCGATCCAGGCCATCTATCCATCTATCCATCCATCTATCCATCCATCCATCCATCCATCCATCCATCCATCCATCCATCCATCCATCCATCCATCCATCCATCCATCCATCCATCCGTCCGTCCGTCCGTCCGTCCGTCCGTCCGTCCGTCCGTCCATCCATCCATCCATCCATCCACCCACCCACCCACCCACCCACCCACCCACCCACCCACCTCCATTAACGTCAGCAAGCAGGTGGTAGAGGTTGAAGGTGTAGCTGTCGTAGTTGTCAATCAGCAACGTCCTCATTACAAACTGATCCGCTTCAGTGCCACCATCCCCTGCATCGTCCTCGTCCCTCCCCGTCCCCTCATCTCCAGTCTCGTACATCCCCGTCCCCTGCAATCCCTCACCCTGACAGTTACCACACGCCTCCACACGCTTATCCGTGCCTTGACGATCCCCCTCTCTCTGCATCTCATCTTCCTCCACCGCAGAATCTCTCAATCTGCTACCCTCTCCCTCCAAACGGCGATCCCTGGAAGGTCCTGGCGTAGGTTCTGCAGAAGCTTCGGCGGTGACGGGTGCGTCAGCACTGACGTCACTCCTGCTTCTACACGAACCGCCACTGCCGCCACTGACCCTGAGATTGCCATGGCTGCTGCGTACGGGGATCAGGGGGATGAGGCATCCCTGTAGAGTCACTCCCCTCCTGAGACTACCGCCGTGGCCGATCGGTAGAAGAGAAAAGCGTTCCCGTGACGTGGCTAGTCCCGCAGAAGGTGCGGCTGTGCGGCTGAGAGGCGGGCTATGCGGTCTGTGCGTATCGACGCGGGTCCAACGCGCAGGGTCGTATTCGCGAAGTGATTGAATCGAAGGGCGAGAAGTGATTGGTCTACAGGCAGCTGCTGGTTGCAGGCATGTTTTGGGAGTTCTCGTTATAAGCCTAGAACACGAAGAGCGGGCGAGGACTGTGCTACAAACAGATGGTGGTGTGCCGAGCCTGGGATGCCGCGACGCAAGACACGTGGAAGCCATGAGCGAAGGGTTTTGCCTATTAACGTTAGTATTTGCGAACTAAAAGATGTCTTTAAGGTAAAACCACCGCCGTTACTCTTCCATCTAGTGCCTGCTTCTTCTTCTACCTCTGCTTCAATGCACTAACGGATGCCTCGCCCAGGTCGAAGCCGCCACTGTCCTAATCCAGCTCACCGACGCGAGTCGTGAGAGTGAGACGTTGCACAATACTTGTGATTCAGTACATTAGCAGATCATTCGGCGTGCGCCAAAAGCAGATCATAAAGGAGAGACGAGCCACTGTCCTAATCCAGCTCACCGACGCGAGTCACGCTGACGCGATCAGCTGCCGTGAACTAGGGATGATGTGACTCGAGCACCTGATCACGATGGCGGCGGATTTTTATCTCCAACGAGAGGCTAGCACTGCTACACGATCATATGACTACGTACGCGTTGTCACACGTATGTCGTCACAGCAATTTTTCAAACGAAGGCCTGGTTCGGTTTGTCTCTGGATCATATTTGTTGCGGGATGTATGCAGATGGAGAGGGTGCAGACTTTTTCTGCGTGAACCTGGCGTGGTTAGGGTCGAACTTCCACCGTCGCGATTGCGTGTCAGGCGTAACAAAATGCGCTTTTCGTTTCGTCAAAACGAGTGTTCACTGCATTCGCAAATAACGAAAACCAAACCGGCAAAATAGCTCCGCGACTCTACCCTCGAAATGATCCGCGTTCGATGATGTCATGGAAACAGCAAGGAAGCGGCAAGGGTTCTCGGTATCTGAGATAGTGCGGTGAAGTACGGTGATAGAAGTTACGAGACGTTTCTTGTGATTTACTGCTCTGTGCTCTCGAGCTTGGGCATCCTATCGGGCCCTGGGGGAGTACGAAGGACATACAATACTTGACAGAGCACGCCCTAATTTGACAGAGTCTGACCTTTCCCCCCCACCATTTCTTTTACACGTTCTTCCTTCAGGCTTGTCCCACGTATCCTATCCTAGCATTCGTTGCAATTCAATTAGATTTGTTATGTGCTGTAGTACGGTTTTGAGGATATTCAAGACAGCCTCTTCATAGACATGCAGTTTTCTAAGACCCTACCGCCTTTTCTAATTCTTCACAGCAAGTTAGCGTTGTATCGTTCCATCACTTCTCGACATCTTGCTCCAACGTACCATCACGGATCGCCTGCCATCTAGCTAGGTGCGTGAGCGCCCTAACGATGATCAGCAGAACTGCGTCCGAGTCGCTCCTTTCAGATTCAGTAGCCGCTCAGTCTGTCGTCCCAAACGTACACCGGATCGAGGTCGAGTGAGGTTCTTTTATGGTCTAGGTCGTTCGAATCTGCATCTAAAACGATTGGGTAGGGTATTGAGCGAAAGCGAGTGTTTGGTTACACGCCCTAGCAGCACTTTTCTTTCGCTTGCAGCCGCTCAGCCCTGCGTCGTCGCCATCTGCACTCGCGCCTTATTGGAGTTAATCTCAGAACATTCGCAATAGTGACTTCGTCACGTCGCTGTCTGCTTTAGATGCTCCTCGCCGCTTCAATCAAATCTGTCGCAACTGACGCGTTTCATCTGTCACAACTGACGTGTTTCATCTGTCGCATCTGACGCGTTTCATCTGTCGCAGCTGACGTGTTTCATCTGTCGCAACTGACGCGTTTCATCTGTCGCAAGTGACGCGTTTTATCTGTCGCAACTGGCGTGTTTCATTTATCGATCGCCTCACTGCGCGCCAGTTGCGTCAGATTGGCGTTCTCGCGCCTCTTCCTCCGTGCTCTTTTGAGTCAACTTACATTCTTGCTGCTGCTTCGCCCTTGGCTCCGTACTTCCCTCTCCGTAATCTCATCACGACCGCTTTTCTCCCACCTACGCTGTCTTCATGTCTCCCCGCTCTTTCCTTCCATTCATGCTCCTTCTCCCCTCTCCCCTTCCCCCTCCCCCTCTCCCTTCTCGCTCTCCCCCTTCCCTCTGCCTCCCCTTTCTCCCCTCTCCATCTCCCCTCTCTCCCCTCTATCTCTGCCCTCTCCTTCTCCCCTCTCCCTCTCCGCTCTCCTCTCCCCTCCCCCACCCCCGTCTTCCTCTCCCCTCTCCCCCTACCCTCCCTTCTCCCGTATCCTTTTCCCCTCGTCCTCTCCCGACTCCCTCTCTCTCCCCTCTCCTTCTCCCCTCTCCCCTCTCCCCTCTCCCCTCTCCCCTCTCCCCTCTCCCTCTCCCTCTCCTTCTCCCGCTACTCTCTCCTCTCCTTCTCCCCCCTTTCTCCACTCACTCCCATAGGTTCATTCTTTCACAGCCCTTGGCCCGCTGGCTTGCGGGGATCTAGCGAACGAACGTGACTGCTCTCCACTGCGGCACACACCTCGCAAGGCAGGACATCACGATTCGCTATAGCCTATACCGCATCAGACCATGGCGAATCCGTCGTTTCAGGGAGGGGCCTCGCCCCACGGGCTGGACGTGCGGGGCATGCTGCAGCTGGCGCGGCAGAGGGTGGACGAGGGACAACCCTCCGCGGCCCTGCAACTGGTGAGCCTTTTATGCCTTGCAGGGAACCATCACAACCCCACCCGCCCCTCTCCCCTCGCCCCACGGGCTTGATGTGCGGGGCATGCTGCAGCTGGCGCGGCAGAGGGTGGACGAGGGACAACCCTCCGCTGCTCTATAGCTGGTGAGCATCTGCCTTGCAGCTGGTGAGCATCTGCCTTGCAGCTGGTGAGCATCTGCCTTGCAGCTGGTGAGCATCTCCCTTGCAGCTGATGAGCATCTGCCTTGCAACTGGTGAGCATCTGCCTTGCAACTGGTGAGCCTGCGCCCACTTCAAGTGTGCTCTGAAATCAACAAACCATTACAATCCGGGCGCTTGTCTCTTCAAGATTACCAGATTAGCGGATAGCTGCTTTAGGCCCACGGGCTGGATATGCGGGAAATGCTGCAGCTTGCTTGGCAGAGGGTGGAGGAGGGACAGCCCTCCGCTGCTCTACAGCTGGTGGGCCTTTTGTCTCCTGCAGACAACCATCACAGTCCGCCCCCGACCCTCGCCCTCCTCCCTCCTCCCTCCTCCCTCCTCCCTCCTCCCTCCTCCCTCCTCCCTCCTCCCTCCTCCCTCCTCCCTCCTCCCTCCTCCCTCCTCCCTCCTCCCTCCTCCCTCCTCCCTCCTCCCTCCTCCCTCCTCCCTCCTCCCTCCTCCCTCCTCCCTCCTCCCTCCTCCCTCCTCCCTCCTCCCTCCTCCCTCCTCCCTCCTCCCTCCTCCCTCCTCCCTCCTCCCTCCTCCCTCCTCCCTCCTCCCTCCTCCCTCCTCCCTCCTCCCTCCTCCCTCCTCCCTCCTCCCTCCTCCCTCCTCCCTCCTCCCTCCTCCCTCCTCCCTCCTCCCTCCTCCCTCCTCCCTCCTCCCTCCTCCCTCCTCCCTCCTCCCTCCTCCCTCCTCCCTCCTCCCTCCTCCCTCCTCCCTCCTCCCTCCTCCCTCCTCCCTCCTCCCTCCTCCCTCCTCCCTCCTCCCTCCTCCCTCCTCCCTCCTCCCTCCTCCCTCCTCCCTCCTCCGTCTTCCGCCCAACCCCCTCCCAGATCATAGCAGTGTTGAGAGCGCAGGGCGAGGAGGCAGCAGTGCTGGCGGCACTAACACGAGCCCGAGCCATGCACCACAACCAGCGCCAGATGCAGCAGCTTCAGCAAGGAGCTCATGACATCACTGCATTTATTCCTCTTATCCACCTCTTCTCCCCCCCCCTCCTCCCACCTGCCTCCACCACCCCCCCTCAGATCATAGCGGTGTTGAGAGCGCAGGGTGGGGAGGCAGCAGTGCTGGCGGCGCTCACACGAGCCCGAGCCATGCACCACAACCAGCGCCAGATGCAGCAGCTACAGCAGGGAGCAGATGACATCACCGCCTTGCTGGCACGCTGCGCCATCGGCAGCGCTGACGTGGCAGTGCCAGCTGGCACCGGGCAGATGGCTTCAGGGGGAAGTGCTACAGCGTGGGGAGGAGGAGACGTGGGCATGGGGGGGAGCAACAGCATGGGAGAGCAACGCGGGAACGGGCCACTGAATGGGGGAATGGAGGGGTTCGATGGGTATGCCTCTCATTCAGGGTATGGATCAGAGCAGACAGCAATGTATGGGATGCAACCAACAGCATCAGGTTTCGGGATTGATCAAGCAGGGAGGCAAGGGATAGACCCAGCAGCAGCAGCAGCAGCATACGGGATGGAGTCAGCAGGGAGGCATGGCGTGGATGGGGCGGCGATACTGGCGGAGCAGGGGCGCATGCAAGTGGTGGCGGATGCAGCAGCGGATGGCAGCAGTGTGACGTGCATAGCGTGCGGGGGGGTCATCAGTGGAGCAAGGTGGAAGGAGCACGTGCAGTTCTGGTGCCGTGCTGCTGTGCAGGATCCCATGGGGGATAGCACCAGCCTTTCGCCTTGACTTGTGCAGAGTGCTAGACTCTAGGAGACGGTATGGAATGGTGTTTCTCCGTGCGCCGGGGGGTTATCAGTGGAGCGCGGTGGACGGAGCATGTGCAGTTCTGGTGCCGTGCTGCTATGCACGATACCATGTGTGATAGCACCTGTTCACCTCGACTGCTTCTCTCGTACGAGCTCTAGGGTTGTGGGTGTACTCACTGGCACTTGGACACATACAGTTGTTCACTTCTACTGTGTGGAAACTTACGGTATGCTGTTTCCGAAAGTGATTTGTCTTCGGAAAAGAGTTCAAATATTCACAACATCATGACCCGAAATGGAGAAAGCAATACGGTACATGAGCGTAGAAAGGCTAATGATGGGGCCACTGCTGTTTCTCTTTTTAGATCCATCGATGCATTTTACAAATATCATGTACTACTAGCTTAGGCGTGAACAATTTTGTCATTAGTTAGAAATTTTCCAGCCATTCCGTACTCAAAGTCACTACACTTTCGATTTGAATCTACACAAGATACTCGTTTGACTAACCCAAGGTTGCCTTGTGAAGGGGGCTTGTTGTTGATTTCGAGAATCTCGCAAAGGTTTTGTCAGTTCGCAGCTAGCAAAAAAGTATTCGTCAGGTACTCAGAAAGGGGGAAATAAAATTTGTAACTCAACGTTGACAGTTTGACTTCAGTCTCTTCGGTCGAACTTCAGTTTCTGTAGTTCGTATTGGTTAATATCACTGCAGCTTGCTCGAAGTGCTTGTAACGTAGGTGCGACTTCACGGCAAAAAAACCACGGGTGCAAGGTTTCCATCCGGTGAAGATTCGCGTGCAGGGTGTGAGCATCAGGTGTAATTGTGCGTTGACCCACGCCTTTATTCCAGCCAAAGAATTTCAACGCGTTGTCGGTTGCACCAAACCCAAACGCGTTGTCCGAGCCCCAAAGCTCTCTCAACCACCAAGCCCAAACCAGACCTGACAAGCCACCCTAACCACGACACATGCCCAGAGAACAGGCCATAGCAAACCTCGTCCTCTCACGAAACAAAGTGCCATTCCCTCCACTTGTTGACCAGTCACACCGCGTCTCGGGAATCACTCGTTTACCAGTCAACGCCCAAACCCCGATTCGAGGAATGAATGTGCGATGCGAAACCTGTTGCTGCCCATAAAATGCGCCCGTCCTTCAATCCCTCCATCACTTCCACTATCCAATCTCAATTTTTCCTCTCAATTCTCTCCTCCTCAATCTACTCCTCTAGTCTAAATAGACAGACATTTACCTCCTAATTTCGAGAACCATGGCAGTCAGGGCACTTCTCGTAGTTTGCATTGCGCTCCTCATTGCGACTTCCGCGGCAGCTCAGCGTGGTCCACCTGGCGGAGGCCCTCCCGGAGGCCAGCAGCCCGGGGGGACGCGCGGAGGACCTGGCGGGGCTGGCGGGCCTGGCGGACCTGAGGGCCCGCGCGGTCCTCCGCTTAATCTGACGGTCGTCGGAAATCTTACAGGGGACGTTGGTGCGCGATTGGCTAACTGCTCCGCGGACCCAACGTTTCTCGACGGCCGCTTTCACCTCGCCATCTTCAAGTGAGCTTCGGGGATCTGTACCAACGAGACCCTAAATTCCGTGGGGCTCCGATTGTCGCCGCGCGTCCTCTCCGTCATTTTAACCACTCCCATATGCTGTACCGCATAATTTTCTTCACCCAGCCAGGAAAGGGTTACCATAGTTTCACTCACCCCCCCTTCCGCCCCGCTTCCCCCCTTTCCCTCCGCCAGGAACGCGAGCGGCAATTACAACCTGGCGGTCGACGCGCTCCTCGTGGGCGCCACGGGCGGGCCGCCCGACTCCCTCGCGATCGTGCAAGGCGACGTCTGTGACTCTTCCGCCTCCGCCGCCGCGGTTCTCGCGTTGCCGGTGGCGACGTCCGACTGGCAGCAGCGCGACGGCTGGTGGCTGCTGCACGCGGAGGCGCGCCTCGACGCGTTCATCGAGAACACGGACGCCGCCACCGTCGACGCGCTCCTAGCGCTCCTCCCTAACGCGACGCTCCCATCGGCGCGCGGCGGTGGCCGCAACGGTAGCGGAGGCGGAAGCGGCGCGGGTGGCGCGCGCAGCGGGCAGGGCAGCAGGCGCATGGGGAGGGAGCTGCTGATGCGCGCAGCGGGACGCGTCGCTGGCACGAAGCAGGGGGGCAAGCAGCAGGGGGGGGTGCAGCCGCCTGCAGGTGGTTCCTCAGGTGGTTACCCAGGCGCTGGGGGTGCGGGGGGGATGATGGGGGGTGGCGGGGTGAACGCGACTGTGAGTGGGTATGCCGTGTTGGCCACTGCCACTGCGGGGGGTGTGGCGTGGGGCGGGCAGCTCATGGGCGTCAAACTGCCCGCCGCCGCTGCCTGATGTGATGGTGGTGCTGCTGCTGCTGGTTTTGCACTGCTTTTCTGGATCTTGTGGTTAGAGTTTTGTTATGTGGCTAGCAACTTTTACAGAGTGTTTGGGGGGTTTTGAGGTAGAACTTCTAGAGTACGTTAGTTTGAAGTGATCATCAGGGCAGGAATGTTGGCAAATCACCATGCTTCTCTTCACAAGCAGACTTGCCAATCTTCCTGCCCTTGGCTTGTAATTTCGTTGCTCTTTGTCTTTTATGTTGAGTTACAGGGTATGAAATTGTGTGTTTCTGAAGTGTACTTCCTTTCTACACTTGACAGTGTTATAATGGCGAATGGCCAGGCTGGAGTTGCGAAACGAAAATTTCCGCTTTCTTTTCAGCTCATAGGGCGATCGTACGCGAAGAAGAGGTTACCATGCGTCGTCACATATCGTCTTGTTCCCCAGCTCGTGCCCATTCGCTCATTTCGGTTCTTTCCCTTTCGCGCATCATGTCTTGACTGTGGCGAGGCATGACAGCCAGGACCTACGCACAAGTGCTGCTTGGCCGGGGGAAAGGGGGGAGAGAGAGGCGAGAGGAGGGGCCTGTTTTCAATGTGGACATGCAGGGATATAGCGGAGGTGTGTGTGCAGGGAGAAAAGGGAGCGTGGCGAGGGAGTAAGAGAGGAGAGAGCATGGGGTTGGGGAGGGAGGATGAGAGGAGGATGAGAGGAGGATGAGAGGAGGATGAGAGGAGGATGAGAGGAGGATGAGAGGAGGATGAGAGGAGGATGAGAGGAGGAAGGAAAGAGTGTGAGCCATCTGAGGGTAAGGCGGAAGGGAGTATCAGGGGAGATGGCATGAGGGGAGATGGCATGAGGGGAGATGGCATGAGGGGAGATGGCATGAGGGGAGATGGCATGAGGGGAGATGGCATGAGGGGAGATGGCATGAGGGGAGATGGCATGAGGGGAGATGGCATGAGGGGAGAAGAGGAGCGCGGGCAAGCACACAGAGTGCTACACGAGGTAATGAATTTAGAAGTTTGAAGCAACTTCCTGTTTGAGAATTCCAATAACCACCCGCTACAAGAAGGTGGAGTGCACGTAAGAACCAAACATAACTGCACTGTGCTGTGACCTCTGCTGCTGCCTCTGATGCTGCCTCTTCTGCTACCTCTGAATTTGGTTCCTACAGCCCCACTCACCTTTCCCTCTGTAATTTCACACACTCTCACGCATGTGCTGTGCATAGGTTCCCCCCCACCTGCCACCCACTCTACGGCACCAACAACGAGCTGGCCTACTCCCACTGCTCCCACAGCAATCCCTCCCCAATTCTTTCATCCAACCTTCCCCATGACCCAGCTACCCCCCCCCCCCCTGTACCCAGCTAGCCTTCCCCCTGTACCCAGCTACCCTCCCCCCTGTACCTAGCTAGCCTCCCCCATCACCTGGCTGAGAAACCTCTATCCTCCAGCCACCCACTCGAAGGCACGAGCAACCCAGCTGGCCTGCTCCAACTGCTCCCTCCACACACCCACCCCCCCCCCCCCCCCCCCCCCCCCCCCTCTCCCCCTCCCCCCACAATTCTTCATCGGCTCTTTTCCATCCCGGCCTGCCTCCCCCCTCACCTGGCTCAACAACCGCTGTCCTCCAGCCATCCTTTCAAGGGCATGAGGAACCCGGCTGGCCTGCTCCCACGGCTTCCCTCCCCAACTCCCCACCCACTCTTACCTATGCCACCCATCCTGCCTCCCCCCTCACCTGGCTCAACAACCGCTGTCCTCCAGCCATCCTTTCAAGGGCATGAGGAACCCAGCCGGTTTGATCGTCCCATCGCAAAGCATCACCGTCGCCGGAGAAATTTTCGAGCCGCCCGAAACCGTCAGCAGGAACAGCGCGCTGGCGTTCCCAGTGCTGCCCGTGCACCCTGCGCTGCCCGAGCTGCCCGAAAAGGAAGCCCCGCAGAAGCGGAGAGTCATGGAGCTGTATGGTTCTGTGACAGCATGCACATCGCTGCCGATGCCGCAGCTGCCAGCGGGAATGCAGAGGGCTAGAAGGCTCGGGCTCAGGCTAGGGATCAGGCTAGGGCTCAGGCTAGGGCTGAGGCTAGGGCTGAGGCTAGGGCTGAGGCTAGGGCTGAGGCTCGGGCTGAGGCTCGGGCTGAGGCTCGGGCTGAGTCTCGGGCTGAGGCCTTTGAGTCGACTCAGAAGTCAACTGTGACAGCATGCACGTTGCTGCCGATGCCGCAGCTGCCAGGGGGAAGGCCGAGGGCGAGAAGGCTCGGGCTGAGGCCAACACCAAGGGCCTTGTTTCTCTTGAAGGTGGCTTGGGAAAAAACGAGGGAGGCGCCGTTCAAGTAGACGGCTCCCCCAGATGCACCTGCGTGGATGGGAGGGAGGATGGGGAGGGCAGGTGAGGAGAGGCATGGAAAGGAGCCGAGGATCATGTTGCTCTTGAAGGTGAGCAGGGAGAGGAAGAGGGAGGCTCCGAGTGGATGGCTCCCCCAGACGCACCCGGATCGATGGAGGGGAGGGTGGGGAGGGTAGGAGGGTGGGGACGGCGGGGAGGGTGGGAGGGTGGGGAGGGAGAGAATGGTGGTGATTGGGTGGCTGGGTCCAAGGGCCCGTGTGGAAAAGGGGGTGTGAGGGTGCAAGGGCCAAAGAGAAAGAGGGAGTGGGCAACAAAAACACAACCTTAAAACGCTTACCAGCGCTATTCCCATCAAGTGTACACATCTGAAACCGCACCCTGCCAGTCCCCAACCACAGAACTTCACGTTATACTGAAACGTCTCAAAGCCCTCCTAACTTTCAAGATCCAAAAACCTGTTATCAGGTGACTTTTGAGTTGACTCAAAAGTCAAACGTCTCAAAGCCCTCCTAACTTTCAAGATCCAAAAACCTGTAACCCTAAACCGCAATCCGTAAACGCTCACCAGTAGTGTTCCCATCAAGTGAACACATGTTGAACCGCACCCGGCCAGTCCCAGCCACCGAAATCGCCCCTCCCACGCTGCTGGGCGCGCTGTTGTCTTTGAAGCGGCAGCTTAGGAAGGAGAGAGCCGGGACGCTGCCACTGGGGTTCCACACGTTGATGTTGATGGGTCCACCGCCTCCCCCCATGGGCGATGTGTTGTTGTAAAAAAAACAGCGCAAGAAGGTGCGGTTGGGAGTGGCGGATTTTGCGGGGAAGGATTCGCTGGTGGGTCGGGGTAGGTGGGGGGAGAGAGGAGAGAGCGTTAAGGGAGTGAGGTGTAAGGTAAAACGAGGGAAGAGGACTTGTGAGGCGCCTAAGGCAGATGAGGAAGGAGAGAGAAGACACGCTGCCACTGGGGTTCCATGCGTTGGTGTTGATGGCTCCACCGCCTCCCCCCGCTGATATTACACCTGGTGTTGCGGAGGAAAGGTGCGCACAGATAGAGCAATGAAACAAAGCGGGTTGGGAAATGAAGTGGAGAGGTGATGGTGATGGTGATTGGTGATGGTGATGGTGATGGTGATGGTGATGGTGATGGTGATGATGATGGTGATGGTGATGGCAATGGTGATGGCGATGGTGGTTGCAGATATGGTAGTGGTGACCAGATTAGATGAGAAGGCACCCTTCTTGTGACTACACCAGCCCAAGTGGGGTCTGGACTACCCACCTGACCTGCTCAACCCACCATTCCCAGGTGAAAATACTACCACCTGGTAACCCTACAATCCAGCTGGTAACCCTACCACTCACCTGGTAACCCACCACCCTCCTGGTAACCCTACCACCTGGTAACCCTACAACTACCTGGTAACCTTAAAACCCACCTGGTAACCCCACCACCCACTTAGTAATCCTACCAACATCTGTTCACCTTTGCAACACCTGGTAACCCTACCGCGCACCTGATGACCCTACCATACCACCCACTTGGTAACCCTACCACCCACCTGGTAACCCTACCACCCACTTGGTAACCCTAACGCCCTTCAGGTAACCCTGTTACCAACCTGCTGGGGGCACACGCGCCCGTGATGGTCAGCTTGGCCGCGCCTGAGAGTGCGGGGAGGGGGCTGGGGGGAGGGAGGGTGGGGGAAGGAGGAGGAGAGGATGGGATGTGGAGGGAGGGGAGGGAGGTGGGGGAGCATGTGGTGTAGACGACTCAAGCAAGAAGCAAGCGAGAGTGGGCTCGAAATGGGAAGGTTAGGGTTGCATGATGAGATGGGAGCGTAGAGAGATGATACCGTATACCGGGTGAGTTTCGTCAATGTATGCAGTTTTTGCCAGTAAAGTGACGGAAAAGATGCCTTGCAAGTCACTTCAGCACCCACGATTTTGAACCTCGACTTTTTTCTTGCGAGAAGAATGCAACCCTAAAGTGACGAGGTAGTAACTTTTCAGTTCTTTTTTGCAGTTCCCTTTTCCGCGATGAGGAGCGTGGTGTGCGGCGGTACCAAGTGCACACGTGGCGAGATGTGACATGTGCAGACGTGGATTGGTGGGGAACACGCTGTGAGCTGCACGCTCAGATGTGAGAACGAGCTCAGTGGGGGACGCGCCGGCTCCTCTCTGTTATCACGCCACGTGGACACACACGCACGCACACGCACAAACACGCACACACATAGGGTGGACGAAAGCGTTCATTCCAGCCTGATCAGGCTGGGCTAGCTTTGAAACGCAAAGTTCCGCCGACTTTTGAGGCGCCTCAAAAGTCTTTTCGGGCTGGGCTGAACGCAAAGTACTGCCGTAGGCGAAACTGGAGCGCCTCGCGATCGCTTTGCTGATGTTTCTTCCGGATCCCACAACGCGCGGCCCGCGCGACTGCGTGTAGAACACTTGCGTGATGATTCTTTCGACGTGATCCTATCGACGCGTTCCTATCGACGCGTTCCTATCGACGCGATCCTATCGACGCGTTCCTATCGACGCGACCCTATCGACGCGATCCTATCGACGCGATCCTATCGACGTGACCCTATCGACGCGATTCTATCGACGCGATCCTATCGACGCGACCCTATCGACGCGATCCTATCGACGCGATCCTATCGACACGATCCTATCGACGCGATCCTGTGGACGTGAAGCTACTACCACGCCTACCTACCTGGTTCGCCTTGTTGATGGCATCTCCCAGCTCCGACGCCGCGATATTCGCGATGGTACTCTACTGTGATGCGTTACTCTCGGTGTGAATCTATCCATTCGTACCGCGTTCGCCTTGTTGATGGCATCTCCCAGCTCCGACGCCGCGATATTCGCGATGGTACTCTACTGTGATGCGTTACTCTCGGTGTGAATCTATCCATTCGTACCGCGTTCGCCTTGTTGATGGCATCTCCCAGCTCCGACGCCGCGATATTCGCGATGGTACTCTACTGTGATGCGTTACTCTCGGTGTGAATCTATCCGTTCGTACCGCGTTCGCCTTGTTGATGGCATCTCCCAGCTCCGACGCCGCGATATTCGCGATGGTACTCTACTGTGATGCGTTACTCTCGGTGTGAATCTATCCATTCGTACCGCGTTCGCCTTGTTGATGGCATCTCCCAGCTCCGACGCCGCGATAGCAGCGGGACCGCAGATGATCCCAATGACTAGCGATGATACGAGGAGGAAAGTGATGTGCTGGCATGCTGTGATTGGTTCCCTGTCACGAGCCATCCTGATTATAACGACAGTAGTTTCCGATTAGTGTACTAGACTGGAGATAGTGGCAAGGAAATCAAGTCTCGTGAGCGGCAATGCTTCGCACTTTGATAACGCGCACTAAGAGGAACGAGCTATCCTTGCTTGGAAATAAAGGGAAAATGAGAACGAAGTCCAGATGAGCTGATAGTCAGGGAAACTCATACTAAGTGACGCAACTAAGGTTACGAACGACCTGCCACTAGACATGAAGGTAAGATGAGAGCCAAGTCTGGGAGGGAGCTGATGTGCAAGATTTTCTGAAGTCAGGTTGCAGGAAACTCGGAGCGCAGCTGTAAATTCATACCTTCTGAACAGAACCCCGGCCCGACCGTGCTCAAATTTGACAGGCGGCACTTGCGGCGGTTGGTTGGGTCCATCCCACCGCTTCGCAGGGCTTGCGGTCATACCTGCCTGACGCCAGGGCGCGAATGGCGGTAAAACATTTCGGAGTGGCGGGGATGGGTTGGACAGGGTAAGGAACTGAAATTTTCTTACTTCTCAACACTCCTAAAACAATACAACAATCCACACACCTTCCCTGCCAGTGCTTGTTGCACTGTATGCCAGGATTCGGTGCCTCCTTCCTTTCTGACTGCGTTTTTCCTAGCTTCCACCCGACGCTCCGTACTGGTAAAAAGTGCAATAATACCAATCATGGATAGCAGTTGAGTAAATAATAGGGTGACGTCAGCCCTGCCATTTTATGCAACGAATGCCATTTTATTCAGTCGGTAACAAAACACCATCATGCTCGGAAGCACACACAAGGTAGCTAAGCCATGCAAGTTCGAAAGCGAAAATAATGCGGTAAACAGAAACAAAGACAAAGCTGTTCTCCCAGGTGCGGGAGCTGACTGCATAAAGGGGACCTTGTGACAGACATTGGGTGCATCTTCAGTGTCGTTGAGGAGGGTGCTTTCACATACACTTTTATGATTGCTACATTGTAAGCCACATTAGCATGCGTGCTGGTGAGAGTGAGATGAGGAGCAAGATGAAAAGACAGGAGTTGACTGCGGTGAAGCGTGAGTGCCAGAACTCAAGCACAGGTGCTGCTTGGACGCAAGAAGGGGGGGGGGGGGACAACAGGGGAGATGAGAGAGGGGAGAAAGAATACGAATGTATTTAACGCAGCACCTGAGGTTTTGATAGCCAGGTCTTAAAGACAGGTGCTGCATGGAGGGAGGAAAGGGGGGAAGGGAGGCGGAAAAAGCACATATACAAAATATATATATAGTGTGCGTGTGTGTGTGCGTGCGTGCGTGCGTGCGTATGTGCTTGCATTTGTGTCTGTGTGTGTGTGTGTGTGTGTGTGTGTGTGTGTGTGTGTGTGTGAGATAAACGAAGACAGCCAGGGTCTTAAACACACGTGCAGCGTGGATGCTGGGAAAGCACAGTGGTTCGTGAGGGAGGAAGAAAGGTGGGCGGGGAGGAGGAACGGTGGGCGGGGAGGAAGAAAGGTGGGCGGGGAGGAGGAACGGTGGGCGGGGAGGAGGAACGGTGGGCGGGGAGGAGGAACGGAGAAAGAAGAAGGGTGGAGAGAGAGGAAGAGAGGGGAATGGACGTAAGGCCTCCGCAGCCCACCTGTCTGCGTTCGACAACTCCTGAAGAAAGGTGGAGAGAGAGGAAGAGAGGGGAATGGAAGGACCAGACGCCATGCAAGGGAAAGGCGGAAGGGGGCGCGGGGGAGGAGTGGAGTGCGGGCAGCAAGCAGACTGGCATGCACCGCGTGCTGCTGAGCTGACTGTGTTGCTGAATTCGGTGCTGATTAAGCTGATTCCCCTAACTCAAGATCTCTTCTTTCCTCCGCACTCGTTTTTTTCCCTCTCCCCCTCGTGCACCCCTACCCACCCACACTCCCTCATCTGGCTGTGCATTGGCTCCCCACGCGCCACCCACTCTTGGGCATCACCGACCCGGCCAGCCTACTCCCACTGCTCCACAGCACTCCCGCCCGAACTCCTCAGTCTTAACCCATTTATCGCTCTTTATCCATCTGTACTCCTCTCTCACCTGGCTGTGCATTGACTTTTGAGACGTCTCAAAAGTCACTCCTGCCCCAACTCCTCAGTCTTAACCCATTCATTGCTCTTTATCCATCTGTACTCCTCTCTCACCTGGCTGTGCATTGGCTCCCCACGCGCCACCCATTCTTGGGCACCACCGACCCAGCCGGCTTGCTCCCGCTGCAAAACGTCACCACGCCCGTAAACTTTGGGCTGCCCGGCGCCTTCTGCAGGTACAGCGAGCCGCCGTTCACGGCGCTGCCCGAGTTGCCCGAAAAGGTCGACGAGCAGAAGCTGAGAGAGGATTGGGTGAGGAGGCCTGAGACGGCATAGAGAGCACCGCCAAGACCCGAAGAGAAGGAGCCGGCAAGGGAGGTGCCGAGGGCCCTGTTGGTCTTGAAGGTTACTCGGGCGAGCGCAAGGGATGCGCCGTATGAGAAGATGGCTCCCCCAGATGCACCTGGGTGGGGGGAGGGTAGGGCGGGGGTTGGAGGAGTGGAGAGGGATGGAGAGGGATGGAAAAGGAGGGAGGTTGATAACCACGGCCCATGTCCAGGAGAGGGATGGGGAAGGAGGAGCGAAGGAGTGGACGTTGGCAGCGGCAAGGCCAGAGGAGAGGGACGCAGTGCAGTGGGCAGAGGAGAGGGACGCAGTGGGCAGCAGAGCAGCGGGAGATGCCAAACAAACCAATCTGCACCCTCGAAACACTCACCAGCATTGTTGCCGTCAAACACACACGTCTTGAACCGCACCTTGCCGTTCCCCGCCACCGAAATCGCCCCTCCGAGGCTTCTGGGCGCGGTGTTGTCCTTGAAGAGGCAGCGGTGGAAGTAGAGCGGCGGCACGCGGCCCAGCGGGCTCCCCGCGTTGATGCTGACGGCGCCGCCCCCCAAGATGGGTGCCGTGTTGCTCTGAAAGGTGCAGCGCGAGAAGAGGCGGTACGGAGGGGTGGCGGTTCCAGGGAAGGAGTCGCTGTGCGGTTGGGGAGGGTGGGTGGCAGGGTGGGTAACAGTGTGGGGGGCAATGGACAGTGCGCGTAGAAACGGGGAGGGAGAGGGGAGGGTAGGGGAAGGGTGGGAAGGGGAGAGGAAGGTGGGGAGATTGGTCAAATGCCGCTACGATAGTTCTTGAGGCGCCTTAGAGGAGAGGACAGGGGATGGAGACTCGGCGGGTGAGGAGACTTGGCAGGTGAGGAGACTCGGTGGGTGGTGGTGTGGTCTCACAGCTCGTGACAACCGACCATCCCTCCCTCACCCCCTCACCCCCTCACCCCCTCACCCCCTCACACCCTCACCCCCTCACCCCCTCACACCCTCACCCCCTCACACCCTCACCCCCTCACCTGAGCACCCCTCCGCCAATCCCAGGAGCCGTGTTGCTCAAGAACACGCATTGACTCGCGTTGACTGCCGCCCGCACGTTGAACAGGACGCCTCCTGCCGCCCGCTGAAATTTAAGGTTGACCAGAGTCAACACCCCCCCAGTGGGGCCGGCCGAGGGGGAAGTGAATATGGGGAAGGCGCCTTCCCCGCTGATGATGCACCTGGTAGTGTTGGGGGAGAGAAAGGGGGAGAGAAAGGGGGAGAGAAAGGGGGAGAGAAAGGGGGAGAGAAAGGGGGAGAGAAAGGGGGAGAGAAAGGAATGGGGGTTGAAAATTGTAAGATCGAGGATGAGAAATTATTGCCTGTCATCAGGAGCGACAGAAATTATTTGAGAATTTACCTGAAGAATCACCTGAGGAAGCACATACACCTGAAGAAACACGTCAGACCATTGTCTGCTGGATTTCCATAAACTAACGAGCCATCAGGCAGCAGAAAAATGACAAATCAGCCATATTACCAAACCCAACAGTCCCGCACCTCCTTCCGAAACCTGCTTTTCAGACCGGCGAAGTGGCAACCCTACCAGGAACAGGTAACCATTTGCGACCCCATGTAACCTCACCACGTAGATAAAATTCAGCCATATATCCTGCCTGGTAATCCTACCACCAACCTGGTAACCCTGTCACCAACCTGGAAGGGGCACACGCGCCCTTGACTGTCAGCTTGGCTGCGCCTGAGAGGGCGGGGAGGGGTCTGGCGGAGGAGCAAGAGAGGGGAGCGGAGCGGAAGAGAGGGGGAGAGGGAGAGAGGGGGATGTGAGTCAAGTCAGAAATTGCCTGAGAGAGTGCGGGGAGGGGGCTGGGGAAAGGAGAACGATGGGGGGAAGATGGAGGAGAGGAAAGAGCGGGGAGAGGAGTTTGACTGATAGGGGGAAGAGAGATAGAACAAGAGGTGTCTCTGTTCGAGTTGGCTTATGCTATAGACGACGGAGATTGGGCTCGACATGGTAGATGAGGGCCATGATTGGTATGAGGCGCTGCGAGTGAGCGTTTGCGGTGTTACTGAGCGACTTTTCGTGGTATGACGTGGAATGCGCAGAGATGGAGTGACGTGGCAGGTGCATGTGGACGTACGCTGTGAGCGCCACGTTGGATGTGAGGACGAGCACTGTCGGGGCCGCGCTTGCGCCTCTCTGCATGCATGCCACGTGGACGCAAACACACACACAGACACACGCGCACACGACGAGCGCACACGCACGCACACACGTGCAAACACGCGTACGCACAGAGGAGACAAACGTTGAACTCGGCACTGAGAACATACGTTACATCTCATCCATCCACGTGAGATTCCAGCTCCACGTCCAGCCGAACCACAGACTGCACCAACGTAACTGGGCTACTGGCTCGTCTGGTTTCCGAGCCGCCGTCATCCAGCTTCCCACCCACCCCCGTTTTCTACACCCCCTCTCCCCATCCCCTCTACCTCCTCTCTCCCCCACCTTACCCTCTCCCTCCTCCCCCCCCCCTCTCTTCCTCACGCCTCCCCCCATGATTCTTCCATTCCGTCCATCTCGTCCGCTCGGACCTGTAAGTCAGCTCAAGAGCGCGCTTCAACTGGCGAACAGCGTTCGCGAAGCGCTTGCTAATACGGGGGGAAGTGCGAAAAAGATGTTTGGCCGGCAACACTCGCAAGAGTAGCGCGTCTCGCTGTCGAGATGACTCTCATCCATAGCGAAGTAACACGAAGAAAACGACTTCTGAGGCGCCTCAATATTCGTGACACCAGATTCGGGGCTGTGGACTCTCGAGACATCTCCAAAACCGCGACGCAAGCCAAAATCAGGTGTCAGCCGACTCGGGAATCAAGCACGGATACACGGCGGTTGGACGGAACGCGTTTCCGTGCTCCGTCTAGGCCTGGATCGCGAAAACGACGTGTTTACCGTTCGTCAATGAGTCTTCCCTCACCAACGAGTAGGTTAGGTTGTACTCACGACGCCTGCTCCGTCAACAAACACTCCAATCTCTCGCAATAAGAAATCCAACTGTTCTTCATGCTCATTCCGTTGTCGTTCGTAAGAAAAGAAACCCCCTTCACTAACAATACGGGCTCTCTCCGCGACCTCAGCACCTGGTTACACTCCGGGTAAGACGGTTTCATGCCTCGCATGCGCGAAGTTCGAGAGAGTTGTGAGATACGAAATGACTACCGAGCTCGCCTTGCTGCTGGCGGCTTCCAGTTCCTACGCCGCGCGATACCCGCGGAATGGCCGCGCGATACCCGCGGGATAGCCGCGGGATAGCCGCGCAATACCCGCGGGATAGCCGCGGGATACCTGCGGGATAGTCGCGCGATACCCGCGGGATAGCCGGGGAATACCCGCGGGATAGCCGCGGGATACCTGCGGGATAGTCGCGCGATACCCGCGGGATACCCGCGGGATACCTGCGGGATAGTCGCGCGTTGCTCGCGAGGCGTGACAGAACATCTACACGATGATGCACTACCATATGCAGCTACTATAGCACGTACGAGTGCAATACTATCGGAGCGCGACCAAAGCAAGTAAAGTAATGTGTATGGTGCTATATCCGCCGTACCGCGTTCGCCTTTTTGATGGCATCTTCCAGTTCCGACGCCGCGATTGCCGCTGGAACGCAGATTAATCCGAGGACTAGCGATGCGACGAGGAGGGAGGTGAGGTGTTGGCGTGCTGTGACTGGATTCGCCATCCTGATTCTTACCACGGCGCCGAAGATTCTCGACTGGAAAGAGTGGCAGACAAGGTAACTCTAGTGAGGGTACTATCTTTCAATAATGTTTCGGACTTCAAGCTTGTGCTTCAAGAGGAACTACCTTTGCTCAACATGTAAATTTCCAGGCCAGGTCAAGACAGCTTTTGTGCAAAATGCTTTTCACGGCTGCAAGAAACCCACACGGAGCAGCTGTAAAGCCATACTGTACTTCTCGGTGAACAGAACCCCGCTCGTCGCTCGAATTCGACACGCTGCCCCACTGGCGTTTGGGTCAAACTCCCCCACCGCAGGGATTGCAGTGATGCCTGCGTGGCACCACAAAACGAATGGCAGCTGTGGAAAATGGTGATGCGGGTTTTGAGGTACAGGGGGAGGTGAGAAGGGGCGGTTTTATTCAATGAAACAGCTCCATTACAGCTCAAGGTGTGGTGTTTAGTTAAAATTTAGCTGTCCAGAACTGCTTGCTGTCGAACTTGGAATTCCAGGGTCCCTTTCGTGCACCTGGCAAAATCGTACAGGAAGCCAAGCCCCTGGTCAGGTCATCAGACCGCTTGACTAGAGGTGTTACAGTGGCTACCAATGAGTTGAGGCTAAAATGGTGGTTCCAGTGGCGGCTCCCCACCTAAGCGTAGTGTAAGTGCTGCTGAGTAAAAGCTGACTAGCGACAGAAAACCATCCCAGTGTTGCAGGTGTGTGCAGCTGCTCCAAAACTAAAACACGCAATTTCAAGCCAACCGCAATAATCGCGTGAGCCCAATCGTCAAAACCTGCGACTTGAAAGCCAGGGGCGGTTTCAGGTGAGCGCCACGTCATCCACGGCCAGATCCAAATCCTCGTCTAACGTCATTGGTTGGCGCGGCCTTTCAAACCCCGTTTCAGACAGAGGCCAGTTTTCTGAGAAACGGTGTCGGCTGAAACGACATAATTGACATTTTTCGGGAAATGTACACTCCGCCATAACTAGTTGATAGGAGACATTCACATCCTCAATGCAAGACACATCAAGCACTCCCCCACCCACTATTGCATTAGTTTGGGGTTTACGCATGATATGTAACAGAGCACATACCATTAGGTATCACGTAAGTGACCTCGCATCCGCCCTTGCACTAACCAAAACAGCAATAAAATTCAAAATGTGTGTCAAAACAACCACCAATCAAACCACCATTAGGTATCAAGGATAAGTGACCTCGCACCCGCCCTTGCACTAACCAAAATAGCAATAAAATTCAAAATGTTTGTGTCAAAACAACCACCAATCAAACCACGTGTGAAGTTGTGAACCAGGTAAGTCGGTAAACAAGACTCTCGGTTCGGTTGCTGTGTTCCGGAAGCCTCGCAGAAGGCCTGAAAGCAGCGGAAGCAAGCCCAGACTCGAGGTTCTTTGTTTAGCCTGAAATAGTTATAAACTACACCAATACCAACAAGCTTCCGCGCAACACACCGTCACTTCATTTCCACCATCAGTATTCCACCTCACATGGGTCTTCTTCTGTGCAGCCCTTAATACCATACTGCATGGTAAAACGGGGAATGGAGAGAAATCAATAATGGAATGACGCGTTGAGAAAAATATGTCTTCCTAAACCGTTTGATAGCACAAGGAGCCAGGGGTATCTCTTCAATTGAAACACACACCTGAACTCATAGAAGTTTACCTCTTATAAACAGTCACGCCATGAGAAGACACTTCCTCCTTTAGAAGCACACCCAATGAAGCACGTCGAATACAAAAACATGCATCACGCTCAATTCTGCAAGAGCAGATGAAAGCCCGTTCCATCTCACCTTGGTCCGTTTGCGTTCCTCGAAAGCAGCCTGGATACCCGGATGACCTGCCAAGTGGATTCAAGCAACAGACACCACCCCACCATGTTAGTTTTGAGGCGCCTCAAAACTGGATACCCAGATGACCTGCCAGGTAGATTCAAGCAACAGACACCACCACACCATGTATGCACCCATCCACCATGCATGGTGCATGCACAATAGAATATAATCACAGGTCCCTTGGCCAAGAGCAAGTGGATTACTCCCTTTATTGATTGCCAAAATGTTGTGATGGTTCGTAGCATGACTAGCGAAGTGGAAGCAAAAGAGAGGAAAACGAAAAGACGTGGAAGGGATGGGGAGCGGTGCAGTGAGGTGGGACGGATGGAAGCAGAGGTGGAGCAGGGTGGAGTTATGAGCAGGGTCGAGGAGGGGAGTCACGAGTTGCATGAATGAACACAAGCTTCCCTTCGTTCATCATCAAATGCATCATGTAGCAAGGAACTCTTACCAGTGAGTGGGAGGCGGTACTTAGCAAAGAGCTCGTACATTGCATCCACCACCACTGCTATCTGAGGGTGATAGAAAAGGGTGGGGTTACGAGAAGGAGAGGTTGGGAGAGGAAAGGAGAAGCATGAGCAACGAGTGATCAGAGGTGTGAACACTCCCAAGTGTAAGAGGAGTTGCAAGCAACAGTAGACGAGGGAAAACAGGTGGAAAACGAAAGGGATGAGCAGGATAAGTTGTCACACGGTTGCTGGTGGTGCGGCACGTCATATTCTGGCTTGTGAAGGCCATGTGCCACGTGGTGCCCATGTGGTGGGCACGTGGTGGAATGTGGTGCCCATGTGAGAGGAGAGCCACATGGTTCTGCTCACAAGTAGCCCATCCCTTCCCCATGCGCGAATAGCATAACTGGGGGGGAAGAGTGGGTGACCAATCCTGAGGCGCCTTGCATTGAATAGGAAGCGTTGCTTACCGGGGGGAAGTTGGTGACATTGATGATCCAGCCCAGCCCAACTGCATCGTAGAAGCTTCGGAACGCCTGGTGTGACGGGGAGCAAAAGAATGTGTAGGGAGCATGAGGCCTTGCATGTGCGTGCTCATGTGTAGGGAGGGAGGGTGCAGGTGATGTTGATGATCCAGCCCACGCCCACTGCATTGTAGTAGCTGCAAAATGCCTGCTGTGGCGAGGAGGGGGAGAGAGGGGGGCTTGGGGGCCGTGGGGGGGAGGGGGGGATAAAGGGCCAATGGGATGGGAATGGCTGTGCACGAAGGTCCAAGCAAGGCCCCCTGCATCCCGGCCCCACTGCATTGTGGAGGCTGCGAGACGCCTGTGTGAGGGGTGGGGGAAGCAAAAGGATATGTAGGGCGCATGTGGCCTTGCATGTACATTTGGGAATCACTTTTGAGAATTCTCAAAAGGGGTGGGGGAAGCATAAGGATATGTAGGGCGCATGTGGCCTTGCATGTACATGCTCATGTGTAGGGAGGGAGGGTGTTACGTGTGTGCAGGCAGGGCGAATGTTACTTACATGCTCATGCAACACTCGCGTCCACATGGCAAATCATCAACATGCAATTTCACACGAACCCATGCCAACTCACAGGAGTCACATGCGAATTCACAGCCACATGCAAGCTACATTCACATGCCGCCACACAATCACATCCCAACACATGTTCACTTACCCACGTCCATACGCCACCAACTCACATTCAGAGCTGACGATAGCCTGATTGTATGAAGCCACACAGAGCATTTGCTTCGCATCTTGTGAAGACTGAAGAGTCAAACTTCATACGTGTTTTAAGGTCCAGAATTTAACAGAACAAGCTCTCACAAAACTGACATCCCAGGCAACAAAGCGTACAGAGAATGGACATTCAAGTCACGCCCAGACGTCCATTCTTTTGATGACCGTGCCATCCCCAAGACCCAGTGCATGTGACGCTCACAGACATATGCAAACTTACTTTCACTTGCCACGTCACATTTACATGCCACGTCACATATCCATGCCACGTCACATATCCATGCCACGTCACATTCATAAGCCACATCACATTCACATGTTCATTAAAGTGGCTTGCCAAAACTCGCGACCAGAGCTGTTGTTACTCTTTGCTTGCAACCACAGACCCTTTGAGTGTGTGTGTGTGTGTGTGTGTGTGTGTGTGTGTGTGTGTGTGTGTGTGTGTGTGTGTTTTTTTTTTTTTTTTTTTTTCCGAAACGACTGAATGCGTTAAACTTGCGTTCTTTCACATTTTCGTTTTCTCCCACGTATACGTGAACTCCAAAAGTGAACTTTCCGCCAGCAAAGACTATGAACCCTGAAAATTCGTCTCACATGCAGATGGCACGCCACTCACATCCATGCTTTTGACAACTGTCCCATCCCGAAGGACCCCATGCATGTGATGTAACCCATGGCCTGCCGCGTACTACTTTTGAGACGTCTGAAAAGTGGAACCCTAAGAGCTCAGCAAACATTCTGATTGCAAGCAACTGACTCACATCCATGCTTTTGACAACTGTGCCATCCCGAAGGACCCCGTGCATGTGACCCATTGCCTGCCAACCAGCCATGCCATGCCACGGGAGGGAACCAAAAGAAAGGATTGCATTATCGTGGAATGTGCATCAGCTACTACGAAAAACCACAAAACAACACCAGAATGTGATTATAAGGAGGCAACATTATCACAAGGAGGAATCCAATGGAAGGAGAAATGCGATGGACAACCATTTTACCATTCTTGCAAGGTATAGAAGGTGTGGTGCTCCCTCGTTACAGTCACACTTGTCACACACACCTCCTCGCACTGAACTCTTCCATTTTCGTTAGGGTCATAGTCCCCACTTGAAATCCACAAGAAAAAAATGAGCTGCGTGTTTGGAACTCCATCCCATGATCTACTATCTTTTTCATCCTCGTTACAAGCATCATCCACATCCGTTATGATCACTCTCGTTACACCCACCCACCTTCTCGTACTCGAGTCCTCCATTCTCATCAGGGCCATAGTCCTCTGAAGAAACATCCACAATCTTGATTGTTTTGAACTCCACCTTGTAGAGTATTACCTTCTTAATATTTTGTTACATTCAATCTCGTTACACGTACCCCCTTGTACTCGACTCCATCATTCTCATCGGGGTCATTGTCCTCTGAGGAGAAATCCGCGAACTTGAGCGAGTGGAACTCCAATTCATATAATGCTACCCTTCTTTATCCTCGTTACAATCACCCTCATTTTACGCACCTCCTCGTACTCGACTCCGCCATTCTCATCGGGGTCATAGTCCTCTGAGGAGATATCCACGAACTTGAGTGTTTGGTACTGCTTGTTGCGCGCTGAGAGGAAATCCACCTGCAAGAGGAGGGAAGGTGGGTAGGGTAGGTGGGTGGGTGGGTGGGTGGGTGGTGAGAAGTGAGAAAGAATGACAATTCGTGCACCTGGAAAGGCGAACCTGAGCTGTGGAACTGCTTGTTTCGTGCTGAGAGGAACTCGATCTGCAAGAGGATGGAGGGTGGGTGGGTGCGTGGATGGGTGGGAAAGTGGGTGCTGGGAAAGAATGAAGATCCATGCACCTCAGAATGGGACGTCGAGCGTGTGGAGCTGCTATTTGTGTGCTGGGTGGGAAGCACTGGACGAGGTATGGTGGACGGGACGGGGGCGATGGATGTCATATCTACTTATGCCTTAGGTGCATGCATGGAAATCGTTCCCTCCCTCCCATAACCAGTGCATGCATACCAGTATCCACGTGGCAGGCTCTCTGCTACAAGCGTCCACGTGGCAGCCTCTCACCTGCTTCATGCAGATTGGGCAGTCCCCGTCATATAGCACCTTCACCTTCCACGGGTCACTCTCCTGTGGCTCTGCTGACGCGGCACTCTCTGCCTGAGCTGCTGCAAAGGCTGATCCGGCTGGCGAGAGGAGGAGAGGAGTGGGGAGGTTGAGGAGGGAAGAAGGAAAACGGAAGTATGATGTGATTATAGAGAAAGGGAGGACGAACACGAGCGAAGTCATTACGATCATTTTTTGGTCCACAACAAACAAGGAACGTATTCTTAAAGCGTTCTGTACTCTTTTGTACGTCAATGGGTTCTCCTCTAGAGGGAGGCGTGTGCTGCATATAAATAACCAAAGTTTATCCTATGACCTCAAAATGAAAGCACAAAACAAAAAAAAAAGCACCCACCTCGTAATCTTGACGTTCCTGCGGGCCTGGGTGGGCAGTAGGTGTTAAGCAGTACATGGCTGCTGCGGCTGCTAGCGCTTCTGAAGCTGCTGCTGCTACTGCTGCACGATCTGCTCGCGCTTTTACCGAAGCGGTGGGTGCGTGACAGAAACGAGGCCACAGACGCCGGAGGAGAGGCAGACCGTTGGCTCAGACTCGGCGAGGATTGCTGCACGGCGTGGCTAGTGAGGCTTGTGAGGACGGTGGAGGTTGAGAGGCGACAGGTGGATGAGAGGGCTACAGCCTCCATGGGCGAAGGAGAACCTGCGCGGTCAGATCACTACAGGAGAGATGTAGCAGCGGAAGCAGGAGAGGCAGGAAACTTGAATCAGCGAGGGGAGAAAAGTGTTTTGAAAAAGCAGACCCAGCCGACTTCGAGCCTCGCAGCTGCAGCCGCAGCCGCAGGTGGCCGAGGGAGAGGGATGAACGCGACACGAAGGAGAGGAACGAGCACGACACGGAGTGCCGGTTCTTTGTCTCCGGTTTTACTTTGCCCGTTCTCCCTCGTTCGCCTGCCCAGTTTTTGTCACCCGTACCTCTTCTTGCGCAAAAGTTAACCGGCGCATATCGGGTTTTTGATCTGCCGCATTCAGACTCCTTGTTCTGATTCTTTATTCCGTCTCATTCTGCCTTATTGCGACTATTTAACCCGTCTCATTTTGTCTTAATACAATTCCTTTAACCCATCTCTTTCTGTCTTGGTCGATTTGGTTATTCCGTCTCATTCCGTTTTATTCTGACAACATGAGCAGTCAGAACTTTAATACACTGCTGTGGTCATTACCTTGAGCGACGGCGATCGCCCGTTCTAATCGTGAACGGAAGGGTTGTCGATGCCAAGCCGAACACAGCACACCCTCTCAAGCACACAGCGCACAACGGGATTACTCGAGATGCGTAGAGGGAGAGAGAGCAAGAGAGCGAGACGAGCAGAATCCAAAAAAGACGTGCTTTCCGAGCCGAGTAAACAATAACTGATGTCCTACTACATGTAGTTACTGCTTGCGTATCGCTCGGCAATATCAAGCCTAGAACTCAGATTCCTGGCAATATCAAGGTCAAGCTGGGTGACAGGTGGAAGGACACTTGCCAAAAGGTAAGGTTTTATTGCGGAATATCTAACTAGTAACCATTCATCCACCATCATGCGCCTACAGTGAGCCATTGCATGCAGTAGAATAGGACCGCAATTCCCAAGGCTTGTCAATGGGAGCTGAGTGGCAGACAAGAAGCATCCTCAGAAAAGAGGCACGGCTGACGAGATCTGCGAGTGTGAAACGAGAAGTCTCAGCAAACCCGGACCTGCACCTGGCGTAGCAACTGTCGTGACGGTTGACGAAAGGGTTGCAGACTCGGCGACAAGGGACACGGGTAACGAGAGATGTTCTCCCTCAACCACTACTACCGCACACGCAACCTCGCTCCGCATCGCTGATCCCTGACATGGCACGAACGGTCAGATCCACGTGCTGGGCAACTGGCGCGTGATGTTTGAATGGTGGAGTGGTGGCAGATTAGCGTGTGTGTGTGGTGGCGGTGTGTCCTGATTGGCGGTGACCTGTGATCTGGGCAGAATGGGCAGAACTTCGCTGCCCAGTGCCAGCCACAAGCCCATGCGATGACCTGGCATAAACTTTCCTCGAAGTTGGTGCAAGTTTCATTCGAGCTCGTATCGAGTACGTCCATGCCAGTCGCACTCGCGGGAAGCTGAATTGTAATAAAAATTCTTTCAATACGCAACACCAACCGAGCATTTGTTATTGACAATAAATGCATAACAGCTCTTCAAATCGAACCCCATCAGAAGTTTAATAATATCCTGATCTTCGCCCCGACCGCCCCTTTTTCTCATCACGGTCTTTAAAGAATGAGAGCAGCAGCAGCACCGACCAAAATCCAAAGCCCCACCAGAAGCGGCCACCACCGCCCCCACCTCCTCCACCACCCCCATCGTCATCCCGTGGAGGAAAACCTGTTCCTCCCATGTCAAGCTTCGCCACTGGAGGAGCAGGAGACAGTAGGGGCATGGGTGTAACAGGGCAAGAGCGCAGTGAAAGAGGGTGAGAAAACGAGTGGTTCAGGAGTTTGTAATGGTGGCGATATAGTAGGCAGGAACAAGGGTGATGCAGAGCATGTGGCAATGGGGGGAGCTTAAGGAGGGGGGGGGGGGGGGAGGACGGGAGAGAAGAATGAGGGGAGGGTCAACATGGAGACAGGGAGGGATGGAGAGAAAGGTTGAGAAGTAGAGGCGGGGGAGGCATGGCGACACAAGAAAAGGGAGGGGAAGTGGAAGGAGGGAGGGAGATCAAATTTGAGGCAGCCTCGGATCGAGATGGAGAGATGGAGGGAAGAGGACGGACGTAGAAGACGTGATGGGGGAAGAGTGGAAGATAGGAGGGGGGAAGGGAGAGAGGAAAGGAGGAAGGGCAAGGGGAGGTTGGAACAAAGAAGGGGGAAGACACGGAGGAATGAAGGGAGGAAGAAGATGGAGGAAATGGAGGTCGAGAAAATGCAGGAGAGGAAAGACGGAGGAAGGGATGAAGCAGGAGGAAAGGGATGAAGCAGGAGGAAAGGGATGAAGCACAACAGGAGGAGAAGGGATGGACGGAAAGATTGAGAAAAGAACCTCGCCATCATTTCACGTACCACATCAAGCCCCATTGCTTCTGCTGCATGGCCTGCTGTTTCTCCGATTGCATCGGCCATGATGACTCAACAAGGAACATTTAATCTGTATTGGCCGCTGCTTGTCACAGAGCTCACACGATTGGCAGCAGACGTCCAGGGTTCGCTGTCTGTCCAGCTCATCGGAAGAGCGGAGCGGACTGACTCTGCTGTGTTTGCTGCCGCCATCCCGGCGATCCTGGCAACGACGACGTCTCTCCTCTTGTCCCGCGAGGCAGATCAACTGACAACACCTCAAGATCCAACCACAATACTTCCCAGATTCCACTCAACGTAAGAGCGGATTGCTTCTGCTGTGTTTGCTGCTGCCATCCCCGCAAACCTGGCGACGACAACGTCTCTCCTCATGTCGCGTGAGGCAAAGTCAGCCACAGCACCTCACGACCCAACCAGAAGACTTTCCGATTTCCACACACCATTGAGAACCGACCGGCCCTCAGCTCAGCGTAAAAGCGGACTGACTGCTTCTGCTGTGTGGCCTGCTGCGATCCCAACGACCCCGGTCACGACATTGCCTTTCCTCGTGTCCCTGGATTCAAATAATACCGCAGTACCATCACTATTTGACCAATACTTTCCCCATTATGAGCTCACCGTTTGGGGCGGACTGCTTCTGCTGTGTCGCCTGCTGCGATCCCGACGACCCTGCCGACCCCGAGGAGGAGGAGGAGGAGGAGGAGGAGGAGGAGGAGGAGGAGGAGGAGGAGGAGGAGGAGGAGGACGGCGACGACGACGACGCCTTTTCTCGAGTCCCTAGATTCGGAAAACTGCACAGTACCCATCACAATTTGACCAGTACTTTCTCATTTTGGACTCACCGTTAGGAGCCGATTGCTTTTGCTGTGTCGCCTGCTGCGATCCCGACGTTCCCGACGACGACTGTGACTCTCCTCCGCCGCCGGACGACATCTGCGTGTCGCACGCCGCCGCGCAAACAACCAGCGACGCATTCTTGCCTCGTCGCAGAACTGGCGAAGGTCTGCTGTTGTTTTGAGACGTCTCATGGTTCTTGGTTAACAGCAGGATCGCCGGTGGTCTGATGCTGTGTTGGACTGCCGACGATGTGGGAGTGATATTATAGAGTGACGTGCACGCGAACTGTGGCGACGTGGTTGCCTGCGACAATTTCCCGTTTCGCGAATTTCGCCAAGGCGACGAGGGCACTAGATCGACCGACGGTGTCACCGCGAGGGGAAGTGACGGTGGCATGGCTAACGGTCAGTCGAATAGCAGGCGCAAGGGATGTCAGACGGGACTTATAGTATGGTATCAACGGTCCAGGCTGTGCCGAAACACTCGGACGCGTGGCATATATTCGAATTAGTAACAGCGTTCGATGTGATCAGCAAGGACTGGCCGTCACGAGAGTAAACCATGAACTAAGGAGGACTAGTTTCCGAAGGGAAACATCGCCGTGATCTTGCAAAGAAGGACAAGCGCCGAGCTCCTTGCAAAATGCGGACAGAGCGGCACATACCTTGGTACACACGCTTCCTTGCTCCTCACCTCACTAACTCCTGTTTCCAAAACTTCGGCTCAACAGGAGGATATATTTAGTCCAGTACGCGATAGAGGCTGAGCCATAAAGGAAATACTAAACTCTCCATGTATCATGAAGCTCTTGCAATCTGGCAACATCACATATAATTTGAAGTCACATGTTAGTAGAGAGATTCTTCTTGCACATCTGCAAAGGCCAAGCGAGCTCTCTGGATCTCAATTGAAGAAATTAATTTCCATGAATTTACATTGTACAAAGAACAAGCGCCAAATTTTCTATATAGCAGCGGCATCTAATGAGCGCAGTCTAGAAGCAACCGCAATCCTGGCAAGATTTATGTCTCTCACTACACCCTTGGGCGCCGGCAGGGAGAGAGCAATGATCTGGCGACACATGGGCACATATCGAATCCCCAACCCCCTGTAGTGATTAACCCGTATAATGTTTGTATGTAGATTCAGCCCACCACCCGTACTCCCTATAAGCAGCCCTTGCACGTCGTCAACAGGTATCAGCTTCCCTGTAGAAGCTGCCCCGCTATGAGCACCCACACTCGTACTGTTTCCTGTACTGTTACCATTATCGTCACTGTTACCCTCTTCCCTGCCAGAAGTGGCTAGAAGGGCAGCGGCAGCTTGAGCAGAGGCAGCAGCAGTGGCGTCAGGAGGGGCATTGGCATCATAGGCAGGGTTGAGCTCATAGACTCGGTGAATCTGGAGGACTTGTGCTGCTCTAGGGTTCACCACGTATTTTCGGTGGCCGTCCCACTTGAGGCACGCGTCACGACTGTGATAGGGGGAGGGGGAGGGGAGGGCAGGGAGTGAGCAGCGTCAGGGGGGGCATGGCATCGTAGGCCGGGTTGAGTTCGCAGACTCGGTGGATCTGCAGCACCTGTGCTGCTTGAGGGTTGACGACATCCTTGCGGTGACCGTCCCACTTGAGACACGCATCACGACTGTGGTAAGGGGAGGGGAGAGCAGGGGGTGAGCGGGGAGAGGGAGGGAATAGGCAGGGTTGAGCTCGTAGACTCGGTAGATCAGCAGCATTTGCGCTGCCCGTGGTTTGACCACGTACTTGCGACGGCCGTCCCACTTCATGCATGCGTCATGACGCACGTCCCGTCCCAAGTGGTAAGGGAAGGCGAGAGAGTGGGGAGGAGAGAGGTGAGAGAGAGGGGAAAGAGGTGGGTTGAGTTCATAGACCCGGTGAATTGCAGCACCTGTGCTCTCGAGGGTTCACCACGTACTTTTGATGGCCGTCCCACTTGGGACGGGACGTGCGTCTCGACTGTGAGAAAGGAGGGAGAGAGCGAAGAGAGGTGAATTGGATTATCCTGGAGAGTCACCTAGAAAAGAGAGGCATCTGGTATTTTACGACTCCTTGCTTTGCAAAGGGGCACTCTCCAGTTTCAGAGTATCACTAGAGAATTCACCTGGGCAGCAGAGGAAAACACACTTGTAGTACTTGGTAGAATCCTTGCTCACCACCTCTCATCTGCTGAACTCACCTAAAGAATCACCTGAGCAGCAGAAGCACCACATCTGTAGTACTCGGTGGCCGTTCACACTTCACTCAAATTCACCTGAGCAGCAGCAAACGCACACACCTGTAGTACTTGGTGGGATCCTTGCAGTGCGGCACTCACACCTGCTAAAATCACCTGAAGAATTACCTGAGCAACAGCATCAAGCGCACCTGTAGTACTTGGTGGGCTCCTTGCAGTGCGGCACCGGCTCCCGAAACACCAGCTGCTCCACCGCCCATGGCTCCCATCCGGCCTCCTGTGGAAAAAAAGGGGTGACAGGGGAATACTAGGGGTCGGGGTTGACAGGGCCATGAAAGGGGTTCACTGGGGTTGACTGGGGCATAGGAAAGTGTTAGGTGGGATTGACAGGGAGATTGGAAGGGGTTGAAGGCGGTGTGAGGTGCCTTGCAGCAGCTGACCCACGGCCCATGGTTCTCATCCCGCCTTTTGTGGAAGGGGGAAGACGGGAAAACGATACTTGTATTCACAACACGACTGAGTGCTTTTGGGTGAGTTCAAGAGGAGTGAGAAGGTCGAGGCAGGTGAGGAGGGTGAGAGGAGTGGGAAGGGAGAAAGGAATGAGAGGGACACCTGTATCTTGCCGCAGATGTCAAGAGGGAAGGTGAGGGAGCCGAAGGAGAGCCAGGGGATGGCGGGCACTGAGTTGAGGAAGACCAGCAGCGAGTGGGGCGGCTCCACCACGTGAATGTACTCGTCGACATCCATGAAAAGCACCCACCTGGTTGGGGGGGAGATGAACGTGGGACGCATATGGAAGACATATGGATGGGATGGGAGAGACTTGAGTGGGGCAGCTCCACCACGTGTAGGTACTCGTCCACGTCCATGAATAATAGCAGCCACCTGTGAGGTGATGGATAAAGCGAGGCGGATACACAAGGCAGATGGATGGGAGAGACTTGAGTGGGGCAGCTCCACCACGTGTATGTACTCGTCCACGTCCATGAATAATAGCACCCACCTGGTTGGGGGGTGGAGGACACATGGCATGTGAGGCATATGGAAGGCACATGGAAGGCACATGGCATGTGAGGCATATGGAAGGCACATGGAAGGCACATGGCATGTGAGGCGTGGCTCCACCACGTGCATGTACTCGTGCACATGCATGAAGAGCATCCACCTGTGAGACGATCACCCACCTGCTGGGGGGGAATATGGCATGCAGGGCATACATGGAACACACATGGGAAGCAAATGGACAACACGAGGATGAGTGGCTGGTGGCCTGTGTGAACTGGCATCACCGCATAAATGTGCATGTACTTGTGGACGTCCATGACCAGTAGTACCCATCTTGTGGGGACCAATAAGGCATGGAAGCAGTGCACGATATGCGGAGAGTCACTCTACAGCGGTAGTTGGAGAATGTGGGAGGCTATGGGGTTGTACGGGTGATTGTAGCATTGCGCTTGTTTGCACTAGTTGGTGTGTTCGTAGGTGAAATTGGCAATAGTTTCACCTGCAAAACAAAAAAGAGAACAACAATGAACACAATGGCATGACAAAGTGAAAACATCAAGGACACAATGCCTAGCATCCTAGCAAGTCGACCTCCAGCACAGCACCAGAACGGCTTGCCAACGCTGCAAGTCGGCGACGCGCCAACGCAGCTGGAAGGCGGATTGCCAACACTGCAAGATGACGACTTGCCACCGTCACATCAAGGCGGATTGCCAACACTGCAAGATGGCGACTTGCCACCGTCACATCAAGGCGGCTTGCCAACACTGCAAGATGACGACTTGCCACCGTCACATCAAGGCGGATTGCCAACACTGCAAGATGGCGACTTGCCACCGTCACATCAAGGCGGCTTGCCAACACTGCAAGATGGCGACTTGCCACCGTCACATCAAGGCAGCTTGCCAACACTGCAAGATGGCGACTTGCAACCGTCACATCAAGGCGGCTTGCCAACACTGCAAGATGGCGACTTGCCACCGTCACATCAAGGCGGATTGCCAACACTGCAAGATGGCGACTTGCCACCGTCACATCAAGGCGGCTTGCCAACACTGCAAGATGGCGACTTGCCACCGTCACATCAAGGCGGCTTGCCAACACTGCAAGATGGCGACTTGCCACCGTCACATCAAGGCGGCTTGCCAACACTGCAAGATGGCGACTTGCCACCGTCACATCAAGGCGGCTTGCCAACACTGCAAGATGGCGACTTGCCACCGTCACATCAAGGCGGCTTGCCAACACTGCAAGATGGCGACTTGCCACCGTCACATCAAGGCGGCTTGCCAACACTGCAAGATGGCGACTTGCCACCGTCACATCAAGGCGGCTTGCCAACACTGCAAGATGGCGACTTGCCACCGTCACATCAAGGCGGCTTGCCAACACTGCAAGATGGCGACTTGCAACCGTCACATCAAGGCGGCTTGCCAACACTGCAAGATGGCGACTTGCCACCGTCACATCAAGGCGGCTTGCCAACACTGCAAGATGGCGACTTGCCACCGTCACATCAAGGCGGCTTGCCAACACTGCAAGATGGCGACTTGCCACCGTCACATCAAGGCGGCTTGCCAACACTGCAAGATGGCGACTTGCAACCGTCACATCAAGGCGGCTTGCCAACACTGCAAGATGGCGACTTGCCACCGTCACATCAAGGCGGCTTGCCAACACTGCAAGATGGCGACTTGCCACCGTCACATCAAGGCGGCTTGCCAACACTGCAAGATGGCGACTTGCAACCGTCACATCAAGGCGGCTTGCCAACACTGCAAGATGGCGACTTGCCACCGTCACATCAAGGCGGCTTGCCAACACTGCAAGATGGCGACTTGCCACCGTCACATCAAGGCGGCTTGCCAACACTGCAAGATGGCGACTTGCCACCGTCACATCAAGGCGGCTTGCCAACACTGCAAGATGGCGACTTGCAACCGTCACATCAAGGCGGCTTGCCAACACTGCAAGATGGCGACTTGCCACCGTCACATCAAGGCGGCTTGCCAACACTGCAAGATGGCGACTTGCCACCGTCACATCAAGGCGGCTTGCCAACACTGCAAGATGGCGACTTGCAACCGTCACATCAAGGCGGCTTGCCAACACTGCAAGATGGCGACTTGCCACCGTCACATCAAGGCGGCTTGCCAACACTGCAGGATGGCGACTTGCCACCGTCACATCAAGGCGGCTTGCCAACACTGCAAGATGGCGACTTGCCACCGTCACATCAAGGCGGCTTGCCAACGCTGCAACAATGCGGCTTGCCAGCGTTGCGACCGCAGGTGACCGTGTGCGCACCTACCAAGTGGGCACAGGCCGACGGCTATACCGTCACACACATTGCACGTGATGCTCGACCCGCAGGTCGACTTAGTCAAAACCACATGGAGCGAAGTCCGCACATCCCCGCAGAACTTCGCCGACTAGTTACCAGGTCGACCAAAGGAGGCCGCTAAGCCGGCGCCGACTTGATGGCCAGTTGGTGCCTGCAGATTGACACCTTGTCAACGAACACCTTCGTCGACCGTCAAGGCCCGACGCCGTTCGCCGACTTCGTCATCGTCACCGTAGTCGGCCGTGCTGCACCGAAGTCGGCCAATCAAGCCTGCCAACCAAGCCTGCCAACCAAGACTTACTAATCCAAGTCGACGCTGTCCGTCGACTTCACCTCGGCGGCCAATGTCTCGTCGGCTTCGCTGACGGCTCCGCCGTTCGTTGGAGTCAGCTTCACGGTGGTCGGCTGCACCGAAGTCGGCTAAACACAGAAGTTGGCTCCGTGCAAGTCGGCTAATCAAGCCGACCTGCTCCTCCAAGTCGAAGACGACTATGAGCCTAGCCGGACAACAAAGTCGGCTAAGCCCAAGTGAGGGCGGGGCATTTTCTCGTCAACATGACAGGCATGGCAGCAATACGGTGCAGAGCAGAGCACTAGCCAACCGTGCGGGATGCACGTACGTACAGATGTCACTGTGCCGACCGTGCAAGGAATGTCACTCTGCAATTTGTGTGGCGGACGGATGGATGGGATGCGAGAGAGGATGGGGGAGAGGATGGGGGAGAGGATGGGGGAGAGGATGGGGGAGAGGATGGGGGAGAGGATGGGGGAGAGGATGGGGGAGAGGATGGGGGAGAGGCGAGGATGGGGGAGAGGATGCGAGGGCTGGTGGTAGTACCTTGTGAGTTGTCGAGACCTGAGAGCACAGTCATTCACCATGAGAACCTGCCGCGACGAATATGGAGGGAATAGAAGTAGGCAGGAGGTACATGTGTGTGTGAGTAGAGTGGGTTTGAGTGAGGTCACTGTGGGCACGTGTGATGGAGCATGGGTAGGGCCGTTGTTTTTTAGGAGCAATAAAGCCATAAAAGGATACTCCTATATCGTATGATGGATACACACACGGGTGAACGAGGTAAGCACACAAGGATGTGGTGGTCAATCAAATTTGTGGCTTAGAAATCATGCGATGGCCAATCGGCCCCCTTCCTCCCCCCATCTCCCCCCCTTCCTCTCACACACCTGCGCATAGCTCCAGGTGTCATAGAGCGCGGGCCCCTTGATATCAGTGATGTCCATGATGCCTGCTCTGAGGTACGGCCTCAGAGCTGCCATGACGTCATCATCCATGGCCCCTGCATCATACATGCGCAGGTACTGGGGGGCGTGGGGGTATGGGGGCATGGAGGCATGGGGGCATGGTGCAGGTGGGATGTAATTAGTACATCTGACTGAACTGTCATCCCCACTACCATCCATGGCCCCTGCACCGTACATGCGCAAGTACTGGGGGCATGAGGGCATAGAGGGATGGGGGCATAGCGGCATGGCACATGGTGACATGCAGATAGGGCGACAAGCTATGTGACGGAAGACGCAAGACGCGTCTTGCGTCTAGCGTCTAGACGCAGCGTCTAGACGCTAGACGCTAGACGCGTGTTTAGACGCTAGACGCTTGGGTAAAAAAAATTCGGTCAGCCCGAAAAAAACAAATTGCGCGGCCGAAATTGGATTTCGCGATTTCGACGCGAAATTCAATTTCGCAACATTTGAACCCCCTCCCACCCATTTCGACAATGAAAAACAGCCCGACCAACCAACTTTTGTTACCCCCCAACCCAAATTGCAACCTCAAAGGTCTTTGTGGACCACCACCAAAGGCATATAGGAGCACAACCACCTCATCCATGCTCCTCATATCTAGTCCAACTCAATTCTCCTTCAAAAACTCTTGGGGTTTACACGCTAACTCAATTCTCCTTCAGAAACCCTCAACCCTTTTTGCCAAAAATGTGTGCAATGTCCTTCTCCCTGCCCTCTCCACGCCCTAGAAGAGGGTTTTTTTCGCTGCCCGGACGTTTTTTTAAGGCCTGCCCGGGTTTCCGTCTAATATGCGTCTAATCTGGCCTGAAATGCGTCTAGCGTCACATGGGCGACAAGATGGTAACGTTGTTAGAACTAAAGGTTTTGCCATGCCCACAACCATCGATGCCCACAACCATCGATGCCCACAACCATCGATGCCCACAACCATCGATGCCCACAACCATCGATGCCCACAACCATCGATGCCCACAACAACCATCGATGGCCCCAGCATCGTACACGCACATACTGAGAGGCACGGGGGCATGGATAGAGGTCATATCCACACCATGCACGCACTCACCCCTCCCCATAACCCCTGCCAATGCCACACCTAGCACACGTGACCCGGAACAATCAGTCCATGTCCACACAATGTACCGATCGGAGGAAACTCAATCCACTCCAGCGGCCACTCCGTGTCACTTGTACATGAACATGCACGTGTCACTTGTACATGAACATTCACATGTCACTTGTACATGAACATTCACATGTCACTTGTACATGAACATTCACATGTCACTTGTACATGAACATTCCCCCGTGCAATGCAAGCATGCACATGCTACATCCAAACCATGCACTCACATCCACGCCATGCACCGATTGGTGAAATTGAATCCACTCCAGCAGGCGCTGCAAGAAAATCAGTCACGGATATCTGCTGCTCATGTGCAATGCACACTGTGCATGTCATGCCATGCCATGCCATGGTACGCACCCCCATGCTCACTCACATCCACACCGTGAACGGATCGGTGGAACTCAATCCACTCCAGCAGCCGATGCGTGTGAATGGCCCCGAACATGGGCGCGGCGGAGCAGTACGTCAGGTTGCGCTCAAACACCCTCTCGCACTCGCCACGCACTCATGCACTCACGTTTACGCCATGCACCGAGCGGTGGACATGCACTCATATGAATAGTACGTGTGTACCATACCATGTGCACATGTGCATGCATGCACTCACATGAATAGTACGTGTGTACCATACCATGTGCACATGTGCATGCATGCACTCACATGAATAGTACGTGTGTACCACACCATGTGCACATGTGCATGCATGCACTCACATGAATAGTACGTGTGTACCATGTGCACATGTGCATGCATGCACTCACATGAATAGTACGTGTGTACCATACCATGTGCACATGTGCATGCATGCACTCACATGAATAGTACGTGTGTACCATACCATGTGCACATGTGCATGCATGCACTCACATGAATAGTACATGTGTACCATACCATGTGCACATGTGCATGCATGCACTCACATGAATAGTACGTGTGTACCATACCATGTGCACATGTGCATGCATGCACTCACGTCAACACCATGCACTCACGTCAACGCCATGCACTCACGTCAACGCCATGCACTCACGTCAACGCCATGCAGTCACGTCAACGCCATGCACTCACGTCAACGCCATGCACTCACGTCAACGCCATGAACGGATCTATGAAACTCGATCCACTCCAGCAGCCGCTGCGTGTCAATCGCACCAAACATGGGCGCGGAGCAGTACGTCAGGTTGCGCTCAAACACCCGCACGTCCTCCCGAACCTCCGGCGGAGGCTCGGGCGTGCCGGGGCTCTCCTTGAACACCACCAGGTCCTGCTGGTCCACCGCCATCTTGAGTGTGCCTCCCACCCTGGTAGACGTTGAATGATGGAAAGAACGGGGAACACACAGAGAGATTGAGTGGATGGTGCACACACACAGGGGTACAGAGAGACGGTGCTGGTATCGTGCACACACACAGGGGTACAGAGAGACGCTGCTCGTATCGTGCATGCAATCCCTGCAACCCTCATGCTCCACTCCACACCAGATCTGGATGGCGGCTCTCCTTGTGGACCACCAAGTCCTGCTGAGCTGGTCCACCGCCACCTTTAGCGTGCCGCCGCCCACCCTGGGAGGGGTTGAGGAGGGAGGGAGAGGAAAGGAGAGATGAAGGGAGAGAGAGAGAGAAAAGGACCGTTGGAAAGAGAAATACCAGAGTTAAAGACCGGAGCATCAAAGAAGGGCTCCGTTGATTCCAAAGGCTCCTGCCGCTCGTTTCCCCTGCAACACCACAGCCTGCTGGCCGCCCACCATCTTCAGTGTGCCGCATGCCATGGCGGTGCATGGTGGTGCATGGTGGCGCATGGTGGCGCATGGTGGTGCATGGTGGCGCATGGTGGTGCATGGTGGTGCATGGTGGTGCATGGTGGTGCATGGTGGTGCATGGTGGCGCATGGCGGTGCATGGTGGTGCATGGTGGCGCATGGTGGCGCATGGTGGTGCATGGTGCATAGAACTCCCTCCTGTGTCCATGGTGCATAGTGTCACACGGAAATGACAGCAAAACAAAGTGGTGAGCTAAGAGACAGGTGCAATTCATAGGCACGTGAATGGTGCTGCGCGCTGTGTGTGGTGTCTCACACACACTCACACAGAGCTAACCTCTAACTCACATGGAGCTGACTGGTCGCTGCAGGTCGCAGTACAGCAGCACACACTCGTATGCACGTGCATGGTGCTCCCCTCCCCTGTGCATGATCTCACACACACACTCAAACTGAGTTTAACCTTTCCAACTCACATGGAGCTGACTGGTCGTTGCAGGTCGCAGTACAGCAGCACACACTCGTACGCGCGTGCATGGTGCTCCCCTGGGAACTTCACTGAGATGGCGCCATCTGTCCACTGCCCATTGGCTGCCTCCCACCTGTGAGGGAGGAGAGAGGGACCGGGAGGGGGATTGTGGAGAGGAGGGAAAGGGGGGGGAGGGAGGAGAAGGGAGAGGAGGAGGAGTAGGAGGAGGAGGAGGAGGAGGAGGAGGAGGAGGAGGAGGAGGAGGAGGAGGAGGAGACAGAGGGGGCGGAGAGAAGGGAGGGGATGGATGGATGGGACGAAAGGTTAGGACCATAGGTTAGAATGGGAGGATGTATTTGGTTTAGAAACACTGTCGTCATGCATTGCTCTGCACGCCACGTATTCATACCGCGGAAAAAAAAACTATCTGGAGCATTTTACTTGGACAGGCAGACATATGCACGCACATGCGTGCACACTCGAATCATTCCTGCAGGCATAGTATGCACTCATGCTGTGCTTTGCATTCACATGCTGTGCTTTGCATTCACATGCTGTGCTTTGCATTCACATGCTGTGCTTTGCATTCACATGCAAGCACATTCAGATCATGCACAGGAACAGTGCTATGCAGTGATGACGTCATGGTAGGATTAGGTAAAGTTGTAGCTGATGCCTCAGGTCCATCATGGGGCATGGCCTGGCAGGTGTGAGCTGATCCAGCCATGCATGCTTGTATGCCTGCCCGCCTCACCAGCAGTGATGACGTCATGGTGCATCGGTCCCCCATGATATGGTGCATCGGTCCCCCATGATATGGTGCATCGGTCCTTCATGATATGGTGCATCGGTCCCCCATGATATGGTGCATCGGTCCTTCATGATATGGTGCATCGGTCCCCCATGATATGGTGCATCGGTCCCCCATGATATGGTGCATCGGTCCCCCATGATATGGTGCATCGGTCCTTCATGATATGGTGCATCGGTCCTTCATGATATGGTGCATCGGTCCTTCATGATATGGTGCATCGGTCCCCCATGATATGGTGCATCGGTCCTTCATGATATGGTGCATCGGTCCCCCATGATATGGTGCATCGGTCCCCCATGATATGGTGCATCGGTCCCCCATGATATGGTGCATCGGTCCTTCATGATATGGTGCATCGGTCCTTCATGATATGGTGCATCGGTCCTTCATGATATGGTGCATCGGTCCTTCATGATATGGTGCATGAGGGGCATGGGTCCCCCAGGATACGGGAAGAGACCCATCATTCATGCCCATGGGTCTGTATGCCTGCGCAGGCCTGTATGCCGCCCTGCTAGCCTCACCAGCAGTGCTGGGCGGTGATGACGTCATGGTGTGTGAGGGGCATGAGGCCCATGGCGACCATGCGGGAGGGAGTGATGCGGTAGGCGCTGAACTGGATGAATCCCTCCTTGCTGCTGCTGCCGTCGAAACTGGGAGAGGGGAGGGAGGCAATGCAAACGGACAGCACACAGACACAACCACATTCATATCAACGTATGTGTGGCGCTCATTCCCATGGCGACCACGCGTAGGGGAGTGATGTGGTAGGCGCTGAACTGAACAAATTTCTCCTTGCTGCTGCTGTCAAAGCTGGGAGGGGGAATGCTACGCAATGCACACACAGACACAAGGCAGAAACGTGAGAGTTGCATTGCTGCGTTAGCTACTGGATGAGGGTTGATGCGGTAAGTCCTGAGCTAAATGCAGCCCTCACTGTCGCTGCTGCCGTTAAAGCTGGCAATGCGTGCGCCGTGCGTGCGTGATATTGACTCAGCGCGGCACACCACTCACTTTTGTTTCCGCATCTCCAGCATTTCAAGCTCCGCCGGAGTGAGTTTGTGCGCCGCTCCCCGCGGATGCCGCCTCCCCTCGCCGCCGCTGCCCCCCCGCTCCCTCCCGCGACCTCCGCCGCCTAAGCCGCCGCTGCCGCCTTTCCCCGCGCGCGAGAGCAGCGGCACGGAGGGCGCTTCGTCGAGCAGCACGAAGCAGATGAAGATGTTACTCACGACGACGACGAAAAGAACCATTGTCGTCGTCGATATTCGCCGCGGGAGGATGGCGAAAGCCATGACGGAAATGAGAATGCGCTGCGAAAGCTGCGAGGTTGTGCGATGCTGGTGCGAACGAGGGTATTCGAGGCGTGCGTGGCTGTTGCTGCCGGAACGGAAACCCTCGCTGAGCACGACTCGGTTGGGAATTGTGGGAAGGGAAATGGTGTGTGTTCTGTTCTGGGTAGTTGTGTTCACTTTAGACTTGCCCACCTTAGTGTAATTCGATAACAAACGGGAGCAACTCTTTACATTCATATACAAGGACATTCATTATACACCTAGATTGGAATAGTTTGATAAGGTCACCCTAGCAAGATTTCCACCCTGGAATGTTCTCATCCTGTTGGATATCCTATTGCGGAAATAGGATTTATCTGCTCCGCATAGAATTTTAATATGGAAAAAAGTGACATATCCGGATTGTTGTATCATTGAGCCTTTTCCACGAAAAACTCAAGAGTCTTGTCAACATAGCATATGAATAGCTAGCAAGTGCTCTGACATCAAACCGTCTGACTCGAGTTTTTTGTGTAGTCCATTCTGATGTCAGAATGTCTGTCCCTACGGCACGTTCTGCTGCAGCCAGTCTATATGTGCAGCATAATCAGACAAAATAGTGTCAGGAGTCCAGTGCGGTGAGCAGGGACGTCGATAGCAGACGAAAATGGTCTGATGGTCTGCAAATCAGACTCAATTTTGTATGTTCATCTGAGATTCAAGACAGGGTTTAAAATTTCATCTGAACTGTAAGATTTGCATTTTATGTTCATCTGAAATTCAAGACAAGCTTATACGTTTCGTCTGGTTCGACAGACAGCGCGTTTTTTTCCATCTGATACTGACAACCGTGCCCACTGGCCCACAGTCCCTATGGTCCACTGGTCCACGAGTCCACTGGCCCACTCGTCCACGCACTGTGGGTTGCGGGGCATTTACACCGCATTTATAATTCGGCCGTGCCAGCGCAGGATGGCTGTAACTGCCACACGGCTCTGGCAACTTCTGATTCAGAAGTTGCCGAGGTGCAGCGCACGCGTACAAGAAGACGACCTTGCACGGTGGCGCGATGCTGCCAGCGCATACGTGCTGGCAGGTGGCCTGCCATCCACCGTGAGGCGTGGGTGGCACCAACGTTCTGCCACAGTTAACCAGAGGGGGCGCGTCGCCATGGGATGAGCACTGAAAGGATGTGCTTCTTCTACCCTCGTTGCAGCTGAGTTCTACAGCAGTCTTTGCCACCACACTAGCAGGAGCCTCAGCTCCTGGTCCTGGAGCACTCCCTCGCAAACATTCTCGCCTCGTCATGGCGTCCGATGGGCGCCATGAAGCACCACCCACAGTTCTTAATAATACCTCTCCCGTTGATTCTGTCGCTACAGAGAGGCGTACAGGCCTTGATTTCCTGACAGGGCCAAGCGTCAGGGCCAAACCTAGCCCCGCACCTGCAAGCGTCGATGTTCCTGTCACCCCCGATGCGCCATATCCCTTCTAACCTGTCAACAACAGCGACGACACGTTGAATGCCTCTTCCCCTCCCCCCTCGCCGCTCCCATCTTGCGTTGCCGCATGCTCTCCCGTTCGCACCACTTCGGTTCCGTTGAAATCGCCCGCTATTGTGTGTAAAAACACTCGTGCTCCATTCTTTCCTTTGCGTTTCTCAGGCTCAAAGAAGTACTTGCAGCGGAAGCTGCCTTTCGGTCGGCATGCCACCACCGCGCCACCTGCACCAGATGCTGAGGACAAACGTGACACGCGTGCAGCTCCTTCAACTGACGACAGCAAGATCCCTCTGACTGTGGAAGAGCTCCAATTGAAGGCCAAGGAGCAGTGGTCACGGTACTTTCCGTGGCTAATTATCTCAAAGACCAGCGAGGGACGCCCGTGCATGAAGTGTACGATTTGCATTGCCTACGGCGACCCCGACTACAAGTACGGCAGGAATGGCGAAGGCGGGATTGACATCCAGAAGTAGACTATGCAGAAGCACCAGCACAGCATCAAGCACGAAGCAGCGCTCGAGAGGAAGGAGCTACGCGAGGGGAAGAAACCGAAGCAGCCGTCGATTGCAGAGTTTGCGAAAGATGATCCAGAGTCCGACCGCCTCTTCAAGTTGCTGTTAATCGCGCACTTCATTTGCAAGACTGAAGCTCCGATCGCCCCCTTTGTTTCCCTCGTTCAGTTCATGACAGAGATGGGGACGCCGCATCTCCCATTGAAGGATCACGGCACGTACATGAGCAAGTAAGTAGTGTTTTAGCATCTTTTCATAAATATGTTTGGCCTTTTACTAATACGCACTGTATGATGGTCTGGCAGGTACGGTTTCAAGCAGCTCATGGAGACGATGGTCTCCTACCTGAAGGCGCAGCAACTGCGACACATCCGTGAGAGTCCGTTCCTTGGGATTCAGCTTGACGAAAGTGTCAAACTCATACACTATAGTCTGTGTAGGCTGTAGTGGGGTAGCTTATATGGGGTACAACATTTTAGGGTTTGGTACTTGTACTCCTCATGCTGCTCAATGCATTCATTCCTCGTTGTTATCTTCACATGGTTTCAGAGCAGGTTCCCTAGTGGGAACTTTTCCTAGGGCCCACCCAAATCGATCTTTTTTTTCCTGCCCGGGGCGCGCGTCGCCCCTGCCCGAGGCGCGCTCGGTGTGCTGCCCGTACGCGGCCCGTTGCGCCCTCCTCGTGCTGCCTTACGCGACCCCTTCGCCGCCCTTAGCGGCCCCGTCGCCCCACCCTCGCGGCCCTGTCGCCGCTCTTAACGGCCCCGTCGCCCCTCGCGGCCCCGTCGCCGCCCTTCCGCGGCCCCGTCGCCGCCCCTTACGGCCCTGTCGCCGCCCCTTACGGCCCCGTCGCCGCCCCTTGCAGCCCCGTCGCCGCCCCTTACGGCCCCGTCGCCGCCCCCCTTCGCGGCCCCGTCGCCGCCCCTTACGGCCCCGTCGCCGCCCCCTTCGCGGCCCCATCGCCGCCCTTTGCGGCCCCGTCGCCGCCCTTTGCGGCCCCGTCGCGCCCCTTGCGGCCCCATCGCTGCCCCTTGCGGCCCCGTCGCCGCCCCTTACGGCCCCGTCGCCGCCCCTTGCGGCCACGCCGCCGCCCTTCAGCGGCTTTGCCGCCCTTCGCGGCCGCAACGCCGCCCTACCGCAGCCTCGCCGCCGACCCGCTGCGGCCCCGCCGCCGCTCCTCACGGCCCCGAGGCCGCCGAGCCGCCGAGCTGCCAACCGCCGAGCCGCCGAGCCGCCGTTGCTGCAGTTGCCACCGTGCCGCCGAGCCGCCGAGCCACCGAGCCACCGAGCCGCTGAGCCGCCGAGCCGCCGTTGCCGCCGAGCCGTTGTTGCCGCCGTTGCCTCAGCCGCTGCAGCAAAGTTGTCGTCGTCCCTGCAGTCGCGGCCTTGTCCCTCCCGGCGAGCCTCGGCCCTACTCACTTGCCCGGTAAGAGCAGCGCCTCTGCCACTGCACTGCCCTTAGCCTGCTGCTCTCACTGCTCGTCTACTGCTGTCATGGCCACCCCCAGTGTTCTCACCTTTGACGCTGAGGGTCGGGCTGTTGACTTTGAGGTCTGGCTCGATGATCTGCAGCTTTTCCTACAGTGCGATAGGGCAGACGGTCTCTCCCTCTTTGACCTCACTTCTGGTGCCTCTCCTTCCCCTGCTGCTGATGCTGACGCCACTGTTCGCTCACAGTGGGCCACGCGCGATGCTGCTGCCCGCCTTGCTGTGCGCCGCCACTTGCCGACCGCTGAGCGTGCGCACTTTAGTCAGTACAAGAGTGCTAAGACCTTGTACGACGCTGTAGTTGCACGCTACTCTTCCCCTGCCACTGCTGCGCTCAGCCGCCTCATACTGCCGCACCTCTTCCCTGACCTCGCCGCTTTTCCCACTGTCGCTGACCTCATTACGCACCTTCGCACTAGTGACGTCCGCTACCGCGCTGCGCTTCCTGCTGAGTTCTGCGCCAAGAACCCCCCCCCCCATGTACATCACCCTCTACTACATAGTCACCCGGCTCCCTGACACCCTTCGCTCGGTCAGGGACCACTTTCTCTCTGTTTGCCCCACCACTCTCACCGTTGACCTCCTCGAGGAGCGTCTCCTAGCAGCAGAGAAGAGCATAGTTGCTGTAGGAGCCTCTCGTGGTGACCCTCGTACCCCTGTCTTTGAGGGGTGCTCCCCCTCCCCCCTCTTGCCCTCTGTTGCCTCTGCTGCTGCGGTCGACCTTGTTGGTCTTGAGTCGGTCGCTGCGGCGTCTACCTCTAGTGGGAGACGCCGCCAAGGGCAAGGGGGGCACGGGCACTGGGGGAGCTGGCGGAGGCGGTGGAGGCGGCAGTGGAGGAGGCGGAGGGAGTGGGGGTGGCGGTGGGAGTGGTGGTGGGAGTGGTGGTGGGAGTGGGGGCACTAGTGGAGGCAGTGGCGGCGGAGGAGGAGGCGGTGGTGGAGGTAGCGGCGGCGGAGGTGGAGCGGGTCGGGGCGGCTCTACGCAGAGGGTCGGCTCCGGTGGTGGTACGCGCCAGCAGCAGCAGCAGCAGCGTCCTCGTGAGACCCCTTCCCCCCAGCAGCTTCGTGAGTGGTACACTGCTCGTCAGCGGGGCGGGGGTGCTGGCCCCTGCACCTACGTTCTCCGTACCGGCGACCGCACGGGTGAGCAGTGTGGGGGGGCGCACTCCACCCAGCGCTGTTTCGGCCGTCTGACGGACGCGTGGCGTCACCAGTTTCCCGACGCTACTGAGATCCCTCGCTGGGGCGAGCTGTCTAGGGCGGG